CACAAATTCCCATGACTGGTAAAGGTCTTCCCATACTAGCTTCTACCAATAATGCTAGAACTCTAGTTGGGAGGATTCCCAGCCAGCCTGGCTGGTTGGAATTTGAAAAAATTTAAGAGGTGTCCATTAGAAAAGAATGTAATAATATAATATGTTATATAAAAGAAGAGGCAGCTTTGCTCAAATTCTGAACGAGGCACTCTTAAAAACTGTAAGCAAGAAACTCAATTCTGAGTGTTTCTGCTCCAGTATCTGAGTTACCTGGTTTTATTAACTTTTTATGATCTTCCAAATGTGTTAACTCACCTTACCTAAAAAATATTAGACAATATGATATGCTGTTTTAAAACAGTGTGTTCTGTCTTCTAAAGCGGTTTTTTTGGTTTTTTTGCAAGGACCTATGGACAGGCCCTTTTGATTTAAGAGATCTAGCGCCATTTCTAGGACAGTGTTTCTTGACCTTAAGGGGATGTGGTGGCTCAGTGGCTAAGACGCTGAACTTGTCTATCAAAAGGTCGGCAGTTCAGTGGTTTGAATCCTAGTGCTGCGTAACGGGGTGAGCTCCCATTACTTGTCCCAGCTTCTGCCAACCTAGCAGTTCAAAAGCACGTAAAAAATGCAAATAGAAAAATAGAGACCACCTTTGGTGGGAAGGTAACAGTGTTCCATGTGCCTTTGGCATTTAGTCATGCTGGCCACATAACCAAGGAGATGTCTTCGGACAACACTGGCACTTTGGCTTTGAAATGGAGATAAGCACCATCCCCTAGAGTCGGGAATGACTAGCACATATGTGCGAGGGGAACCTTTACCTTTACCTTCTTGACCTTATTTCTCAATTTTAAGATACATCAATGGGGAATTCTCAAAGTTAAAGTACACAGATCTTGATTCTTTTCCTGGCAAACTGTAGCTATGTAGTTTCTAGGCTTTGCCCAGTCTCCTAATGTATTCTCCATAAGTAAATATCCATTCTATTGTAATCAGAAGCCCTACTTCATCAATCCTTGCTCAAGCTAGTTTCCCATTCACAGGTACATACAGAAGGTCTCTGCCTCCAACATGCAGAGGCAATTTCTAGGATGGTTTTAAGGGAGGGGTGTCAAACTCAATTTCATTGAGGGCCACATTAGCATTATAGTTACCCTGAAAGGGCCAGTTCAGCTGAAGAAGCTCCTTGGATGAGAAGCTAAACGTCTTCAAGGAAAAACCAGAAAGTCCAGTTGCCTCTTGAAAAAGTATCTTTGAGGCCTCAAAGGGTCACTTGCATGTAAGACTGTGTATAATATTAGTTCAGGAGTAAACTAATATCTTTCATATTTCCTAAACAGAAATATGTTTAGCATTTTGGAGAACAAATGTTCAAAAATCATTTACACATGAAGATTCATGAATATTTTTAAAAATTGCATATAGTACTTAGAAGCAACAATAGACAAAAACAGTTCAGTTCTGGTTAGGTCAGCCCTAGAGCACAATTTGTGTATCTTATCTACAATAGGTATCTTAGGTATTTTGTGTGTGTGTGTGTCATAAATATTTGTGCTTTTTCATTTTCTTATTTTTTTTATAAGAATAGAATAGTTAATATAATTATATAATTCAGCTATGCAAATTGTTTTATTAACACATTCTGCTTTTCACAGTGTGAAAAAACAAAAATACTATAAATTTGAGAAATAAAGTAGATGCTTTGATCCAAATAGCAGGTAGAATTAGGGCAAAACATACTTGAGTAAGTACATCTTTTTTCTTCTTAGTATTTTCCTACCAGTGCAAAGTCTCCTGAGTGTTGATCCTTTGGTTACAACAGAAATTGACTAACTAGTTTGTCACCCAAGCCCAATGTCCTTCCTCCTATTTTCTCCACAACAACCACCTTTTAAACTGGATTGGGCTGATACTGAATGACTGGCTCAAATCACCCAGCCAGCTCTCATACCTAAGATAGGACTAGAAATCACAACCTCCTGGTGTCTAGCCTGGTGCCTTAAAAAAAATTACCTTGAATGAATAAAATCTACTCCCCATGTTTATTAATACTAATTTGATATTGTAATAGATAATGATTTGAAAACAACTTTTGAAGGGAAAGTTTTGATGTCTACAAACAGAGATTTAGGTTTACTTCCTTTGTTTTTTCTTCATTTTATTTCATTCATCGAAACCTGGATTCCTATGTGTCTAATCAGCATTTGCACAACTACTACCTAATTGCTGCTATTTGTGGCTTCAGCCAGCTTTATTTATTTATTTATTTATTTATTTTTATTTATTTATTTATTTCAATTTGTATACCGCCCTTCTCCTGGTGGACTCAGGGCGGTGAACAGCCAGAACTAAAACACATGCAGATACAAAATTTAAAATTGTTAAAAGAATTATATAACTGGCCCAATTTAAAACAGTTCAATTTAAAACCCCATGACAATTTAAAACTAAAAAACTAAAAAGACTAAAAAAGGGGGAGGGGGTTCACGCCAGCCCTGCTTGATGGAAAAGAAAAGTTTTCAGGGCACGGCGAAAGACCCGGAGATCCGATATCCTTCGTATCTCCGGGGGCAAATCGTTCCAGAGGGCAGGAGCTGCCACAGAGAAGGCCCTCCCCCTGGGGGTGGCCAGCCGACATTGCCTGACTGACGGCACCCTGAGGAGTCCCTCTCTGTGGGAGCGTACTGGTCGGTGGGAGGCTATCGGCGGCAGAAGGCGGTCCTGCAAATACCCAGGTCCTATGCCATGGAGCGCTTTAAAGGTGGTAACCAACACCTTGAAGCGCACCCGGAAGACAACTGGAAACCAATGCAGCTCACGCAGGAGAGGTGTCACATGGGAGCGCCCCCTGGCTCCCATAATCCCCCGCACGGCCGCATTCTGCACCAGTTGGAGCCTCTGGGTGCTCCTCAAGGGGAGCCCCATGTAGAGAGCATTGCAGTAGTCCAGGCGGGAAGTGACGAGTGCCTGAGTGACTGTGCATAACAGAAGCTTTATATATGCAGTTCAAAAAGAAGATATTTTTCTTTTCCATTGTTTCATTCTTTACTTCTATGGCATTAAAGACTTAAGAACTTGATAACTTTATGGTAGCAATCCTGTGTACCAGGTGGAAGACATTCTCTAAGCCACATGCTTTTTGCAAATGCACCAGCCAAAAGTCCTGGGCAGGGTAAGCAAACTCCAGACTGGCCCACAAGCTCCTGGGTCACCGGGACCCCACAGCCCAGCCCAATCCAGCTTCCCTAAGGGGGTGCCCAGCCGCGCTTACTTACTCCTTGAGGCTGCTGCTGCTGTGCTCTCTCTACTTGACCAGGTTGTTATGGTTGGTGTGGGAGGGCAAAATGCATGGGTCAGAAGGAGGCCCAATCTTTCTCCATGTGAGGAGACCCAGCTTCGAAAGCAAAGCATCATAAGAGATTTTTTAAATACACACACACACACACACACACACACACACACACACACACACACACATATACACACACACACATATATAATATTTATTTTTGTCAAGTACATATTAGATAATATATATATAAGTATAAGCATGAATTGAATACATAAAATGAATACAAATAAAGGGAACATTAGGACAGGGATGGTAGACACACTGGTCCTCTTATGCACGCCCCTTACAGACCTCTTAGGAATGGGGTGAGGTCAACAGTGGACAGTCTTAAGTTAAAATTTTGGGGGTTTGGGGAAGAAACCACAGAGTCAGGTAGTGCATTCCAGGCATTGACCACTCTATTGCTGAAGACATATTTTCTGCAATCGAGTTTGAAATGGTTCACTTTAAGTTTATCTATTGTGTGCTTGTGTAACATTGTGATTGAAGCTGAAGTAGTCATTGACAGGTAGGGCATTGTAGCAGATAATTTTATGAGCTACGCTTAGGTCAGACCGAAGGCAATGTAGTTCTAAGTTTTCTAAGCTCCAGAATTTCAAGTCTGGTAGCATAAGGTATTTTGTTGTGAGCAGAGGAATGGAGAACTCTTCTTGTGAAATATTTCTGGACACCCTCAATTGTATTAATGTTTGATATGCAGTTCGGGTTCCAAACAGATGAGCTATATTCAAGACTTGGTTTAGCAAATGTTTTGTATGCTCTGGTTAGTAGTGTAATATTACTGGAGAAGAAGCTACGCAAGATTACGTTTACAACTCTTAATGCCTTTTTGGCTATGTTGTTACAGTGGGCTTTGGCACTTAGATGATTAGATATGAGTACTCTAAAATCCTTGGCAGAGTGATGGTTATCTACAAGGTCGTATCCACTCAGCTTTTATTTTGTGTTCTGATTCTTTTTTCTTTTTTCCAATTTGTAAGACAGAGCATGTGTTGGTTGAGATTTGGAGTTGCCAATTTTTTTACCATTCCGACACAAAGTCAAGGTCTTTTTGAAGGATAGCAGCATTGTTGGTGGTGTTAAATAGTTTTACATCATCGGTGAAGAGAACACAGTTGCTTATCGAAAAGGTTATTTATGTATAGTATGAAGAGTGTTGGTCCTAGAACACTGCTTTGGGGATCACAGCTATTAACAGGTGCAGGATTTGATAGGGTGCTCCCTATTTTGATCACTTATTGACAGGAACACGGTTATCCGATTATGTAGGGGTCCGGAGATGCCATAGGTTTTTAATTTTAGAAGTATTTTGTCATGTACCACTGAAGTGTATGTAAATTGCATTTATTGCTTTGCCCTAATTTTTTTCTGAAATTATGAAATGAGATAGGGTGCGATACCACTAGGAGAGACCTTGAGGAGGGGGAAAGGAATGGCAAGAGAGCAGCAGAGCTGCTGGTGGCCAAGTTCTAAAGCAGACCCTTCCTCTTTCTCATTCCAATCTCTTCTTTCCTTCCTTCCCTCCCTCCCCCTTCCCTCCCTCTCAGTATATTAAAGAAACGATTCTTTAAAAAACAAAACAAATGAACTTTAATTTGAAAGTATATTAAACAGAATATATTTTAACTCAGTAACTATAATAAGTTCAATATTTTCATATCATAGATCTGGCCAATATATATTGTTAATAAGGTCTAAATTTTTCCAAATATTTTAAAGTATTAATTTATGAACAGTGTCATTCAAAACCTTGAATTTTAAATGTATTATATCCAATGGGCCTTATCCACAGCAAGATGCCAGTTATATTTGTTAATTTAATTCTTCATTGTCTGCAAGAGATTGTGAATCCTTATGAAGAATAATCACATTGTCTTTATACAAAGAATTGTCAAATCCAGCAGAAACTTGTTGTGGTCTGTTTCTTCTTCTATAGAAAATATAGGCTGCGATTCCTGCACCGATGATTATGAGGATAACTGGGATAACTAATCCCACAGCTGTGCCATGTGTCGGTAGAGGTGCCACTCTTTTCTGCACTAAAATACCAAAGAGAAGGAAAAGCACTGAGTACAGTTATATTATATTATATTATTGTGAAGTTTGCAAGTTGACACTTATTTTTTAAAAAATTGAGAAAGAAGCCAAGAGAGATTGCATCCTATCTAGTAGTCTAATAAAGACAGAGCTAACAAGAGTCAACTACCAATCCCAGGAATTTGTGAACTGTAACTCAGTAAAAGGAAGTAACTGTAATGCACTATCTTTTCCTGTTCATTTCAGATCCCAAAGGAAATTGATACGGGTTGCCTGTGGAAGATAAGGACTGAATTGACAGTCTTTTGATGTAAATCTCGATGTTAGAAATGTGAGTACTTCCACAGCAAAACTAATTGCCATGGTTATCATTTATTGCTAATTCTTTATTTGGGAACTGAAAATAATCAAAATTAACTGAAAAATAATCATAAATATTCTGTCACACTAACTGAAGAAGGAAGACTTTCAAGACTTGTTTTCATAAATATCATCCAAGTGATCTCATCTAAGGCAGGGGAAATTAGGAATACAATTTTGGACTTTGACACTGTGGGAAACAAAAACCCTTAGACATTTAATGAGATTTTATATTATATTTTGCTGGCTTTTTTTTTTTATCTCCTCACTCTCTCTTTCTTTCTTTCTTTCTATTCTGCAACAAAACATGTTTGAGAGCTGTCATTTTATTTTATTTTTTCTAATGTATAATTGTAATTTGATGATATACAATATCTATAAAAATATAGTGGTTTATGATTGACAGGTATGATATTTGGGTAGCAGCTGCCAAAATTTCAAAGTTGTCTAGAATAATATTATTTCTGATCCATTCTGAGAAGAAAAGAAAAGAAAATGGCAACTGGCAGTCACCTCAAGGATCTTCATGGCTTCCATTCTATTGATATAGGAAAATTATGTAAAACAAAATTAACTATTGTTACTTAACAATTTAATGGAGATAAAGTAAGTCTTCATAACAATGCTGAATACATGCTGTTGTCATCTAAATTTTTTAATATACAAAAATATGTTCATCTATATTTCAGCTATGTGTTTTCAGATCACAAGTTTGGAAACTTTATTACTGAACTTTAAAAATAACATTCTTACCTCTTTTAAAATTACTTTCTTACCTGTTTTTGTAGGGTTTACAGCTGATTCTTCAATAACTAGAAAATAATCAAATACATTTTCAGTACGTAACTACTGTATATGTATTACTGCACACTACTAAAATAACAATGAAGAAGGATTTGCAAGGCAAATTTAAAAAATGAATTCTCTGAATCACAGCATATTTTTATAGTGAACCTTTATGATTCTTTGAAAAAAGATACAGGACAGAATACACTACAGGACAATGTCAGTTTTTCTCCAGAAATATTTGGGTTTCCATTAACAGGTGATATTGTTTGATATGAATCTGAGTTCATGGGATATTCATTAGCTTCATGAAACTTCATGACTGTATTTAAAGCATCTTTCAGAAATGATTAAGAATGAAACTAATATTTTAGTCTATAGGTAGAAAAGATAACGAGAAATACAAAATGTCAGAAGTAATAACAGATACAAAGCAATCCAAATTGGCTATTGATAATAATTTTATTCAATTCTGTGTCCTGTGAGAACAGGATCTATTTTATTAATGCTATAAAACAGATGACATAATAAGGGGCAGCAAATGATGCAAAATAAATTTGTTCAGTAAACTTTTTTCAATTGCTAAAATTATAATTATCAATTTTAAAATATGACTTTCAATCACTTTTGAATGCCCTTTTTATTCCTACTATTTTATTTCAGATAACATATTATTTGAAACAGAAATTAAATAAGGATAAAAATGATAGGGAAGGGAAAGAAGAATGGATGGAGAGATAGATGGATGATGAAGGAAGGAAGGAAGAAAGAAAGGAAAAATGATATTTTATAGTAGATAAATTATAATTAGTCTAGAAAAGTAAGAAAAGATATAAGAAAAATAATAAGAGCATCAAAAGGTGATAACAATAGATCAAGATGAGATCTCTTAAACATGTTAGTTAGAAAAACTTGCTCATCAAGAAATTAGAAACAGAGGAAAACTTTTCAAATATCATTGGATATGTTTAAAAAGTGAGCAGATAATGACATAGTAAGAATAATTCCAAGGAACACCATTTAGACAGAAAATAGAAGCTGCAGTATTTTAGGAAACTGTAATTTAATGCAGAGTTCCCCACCATTGGGCCATGGCTAACTACCGGGCCTTGAGCTATTCAGAACCAGGTCACAGAAGTGGTGGGCAATCGTGTACACCCAAATTCACCCAAATACATCCCTGCTTGCATGAGTGAATGACGGCAGAAATGGAGTTATGTGTGTGCACACACTTGCCTGCCACTCACGTGGAATCAACTACTCTCTCCCCTTCTTGGTAGTCTGCAAAGCCAAAAAGGTTGGGGAACTGTGATTTAATGTCTATGTAGTATGCAAATAATGTTTTCAATCTAATATTATGGTAATGATAATAATAAGGCTTACTTTTGTTTCTTTTACAAATAAATGATCTTGATGTATAAGATCCACAATAGCTTTCGAACCAAAGTCCAGATTTACTATTCATATAAATGCATCGGCTATTTAAGGTCTCGGTTCTATCATTTTCTCTGTCATCATCTTGGTTATTCCAGTTGACAAAAGCAACGTTACTTTTATCTTGCCATAACCATTCTCCTAAAGTTAAAATAAATATATAGCATAATGATTAAAAAGAAAAAGAACTACACTGTGATGAAAAAGTATATCCTATAGCTTTTTTCCTTAAAATTCCTGTAAACTCTGAAAAATTGGCCATCCATAGACATATGGACATAAACAACATCTACATACTGTGCAATAGAAACAATTGACAAGCCAAAAAGATAACAAAAAGACTAAAACCCTTCCCACCAGCAATCAATGCCTAGATGAGCATAGATTAATACCAAGATTAAAACCAGACCAACAGCCAAGAAGTAAATAATATCCCAAAGAAGGAACTGCTCAATAAACTAATAATAAAAAACAGCCAACCAAAAACCCTCAAGACCAGTCCCACTAATGCTGATAGAGCAAGCCATTAGAATATAAACTGAGAGCAAACTCCATCCTTAGTAGCACTGATTATGTTACCTATTTTGGGTAAAATGAAAGGTCTTCAAGAAAACAACCAAGTTTTCTCATTTCAACTCTGAGCTACAAATATACTCCTTTATCAAGAGTCTCTGTCATATTATTTGTGGATGTTGTTCTTTCCAGAACTAGGACATTCTTTTTAGATATCTTCTCTTGGACTTAATTCATGATATCAGATCATTTTTTGTTTTACAAAGGGTAAATGAATTTCATCAGGCAATCCTACAGCAGTTGACTCAGGTTGCTGAATCCTGAGTCCTATAGTCCATTTGTCACGAGATATCCAGGAACTTTACAACTAAACATGCAATGGTCCTTTTTTGTCCAGGACTGATCAGAGGACTGATCTGGTATGGGTTTCTGTAAATCACATCTCATCATATTTTTTATGGGAGAGGTCTGATGAGACCTGTCTGGTATGATTGAACATCTGACATACTTCTCATCTTCCCCAGAGCACACAATCCCCACAACCATGTCAAGGTAGTGTTTCATTGGGTGATAATTATTACTAGCTACATAGATAAATATTAGTTAATTAATTACCTTCATGATTAGAATATAAGCCTATCCAAAACTCCATAGATCCATGTATTTCCATTTCTTCTTTTAAAAAGTGTAATTCAGCTGAGTCTTTGATTGAAGTTAAGGTACCACCTATGAAACATGAAATGATCAAAGAAGTTCATTAACAGATTTGATTCCCACCCGACCAAAATTGGGGCAATTTCACAAGGCATAACCAATGAGTCATTCCCATCACAAGCAATAATTTCAGGTTTGAATCTTTTAAAGAAGAAAATAGTCCTCTAATTCTAAAACCTATTAGATGTGTATTGCTTATTATGTTTATGGTGAAAGATTACTGCAGCTTATTCTTTGAGTATAATGATACAGAAGTTAAATCTAATAATTTAAGCACATATTCTGTAAAAATAGTATTCTACACAATGTACAGAAAAACAAACTTCTGTTTTAAATCTTCCAAAATGTTTGAGAGGCCCCACCCCAAAGAGAAAGAAAAAAGAAAATGATAAAGTCTTCCAAAGTAGCTGATATTTCAAAATATTCTATATTTATAAGATGCTTTAAAAAGAATTAGAATTATTGCTTTCCAATATCATATATGCAATCCTTTAAAAAAAAAATTGAAATAAATTCATTCTTATATCATGTGCAATTTGGAGAGCACATGTGTCATTATCTATAGAAAGAAAACAAAATCGTGGCAAACAGTACAAGATAAGTACCCAGGCACATTTTTGTTTTGATGACCAAAGTATTTCTCTTGATTCACTCTCTGAAGGTGAACAGCAGTTGTTTGAAGGCTCAACACAGATGCATCATAGAATCATAAAATAAAAGCGCTGGAATGGACCTTAGATATCTTCAGGTCCAACCTCCTGCCCAAATCTTATGCCATTCTGGACAAATAAATGTATAATATTTTCTCCTCCAGCAATGGAGCGCCTACATTTTGGGAGGCAAGCTATTCCAATGGTTAATTGTTCTCACTGCTCTCCTTAGGATCTCTCTTTAACAAACTTATACTCATTGCTTCTGGTCCTAACTTTGCTTTGAAGAATAAGTCAACTCCCTCATCTCTGAGACTGTTCCACTAGTACTGGAAGACAGCTATCATGTCACCCCATATCTTTCTTTTTGTTGGGCTAGACATAACTATTCCCCTTAACTGTCTATCAAGGTTAATGTTAACATTTAAGGTTAAGATTACATCAAGATCTTCTTGAGCTCAGCTGAGTATATGAGAACATGCCCAGAAGATATTTCTACCAGGGCTGCCAATAAGATAAAGCTGCTGCCTCTTTGCTTTCTGAGCTGTCATGTGCAATGTTTTCTAGGCATGTCCAGACATGTTGAAGACTCTTAAACAACCATACCAAGAGTCAATTGACTACACCTGCTATGTAGCTTCAAGGAATGAATCTAATGGTAAATTCTCATCCCTATCTTATCTTTATAATAAATAACTTTCTAGTACCATGAAATTGAAAGTAAGTTTCTGTGTGGTGAAATACATAGCTTTTCATCCCACCAGGGTATTTTTTTCAGTGGAAATCTTCCTTTTAGTAATTATTTTCAGTGCATGTGAAAAATAGAAAGGTATTTATTTCTCTTTGTATTATACCCATTCTACATTCGCAGACTGTTCTTTCAAGAGTTTCATATGGAATATAATATGATCAAAATTAGAGTTGCTGGCTGAATTTGACATAGATTTGTTTATTCAAATCATTGTAAATATAAATACTAGCAAGATTTCCCTAAGTATGGAAAATTGCTGTTATTATTATTAGCTATTATTACTATTATTATTAGCTCAAAATGATACTAACCTATCAGATTACACGTCAAGGCTGCTTTTGGCCAAGATTCCCTTGAAACGTAAAATTTATAGCAATAATCTCCAAAAGGAATCCAAGGTTCGTCTCTGTTTTTGGAAGTTTGGCATTTTCCTGCTGATTGTGGCCTCTCAGTTGATATTATACCTGTTATCAAACAAATAAGTTTTCATTATTAAAAAAATCCATACATTAGTAACTAGCCACTAAGAAAAATATTAGTAATATTAATAAAAAGTTGTAACATTAATAAATAAAAAATAATTACAATGAAATAATGCAGTAAGGTATAACATAAATTTGTCATTTTCTAATTGAAAATTATTAGGCATATACTATTTTTAAACATTTAGCTTATCACTTCATTGATACATGCCACTTCTTACTAATTTGGCACTAACTGAAATTAAAATATAAACTCTATTAAAATAGATATATCAATTTACTTACCGTTATATCTCTCGCAAACAGAGACATGCTTTTCACTGAAGTTTCCTGTTTTCCAATAACCATCAATATCTAGGTAGACACAGGCTGTGTTATTCCTTGGTTCTTCGGCAGCCCAGTTAGTGTATGCTAGCCTCCGTTTACTTATCCACTTATACCCAGGATTACTCTAAAACCAAAATGCATAAGGGAATAATTACAGGAAGTGCAAAGAAAAGTATTATTCATTTAATTTCACTATAGCTAGTCCTAACTTAATAACTTTAACTGGGACAGGAGTTTGTTAAGCAAAACACTCATTAGGTGAAAATCATGTGAAGTATTAGTACCATTTTATAAAGCCTTAATAAGATCACACTTGGAATACTGCATCCAGTTTTGGTCACCACAATATAAAAAAGATGTTGAGGTTCTAGAAAGAGTGCAGAGAAGAGTAACACAGATGATTAGGGGACTGGAGGCTTAAAACATATGAAGAATGTTTGCAGGAATGGAGTATGTCATGTCTAGTGAAAAGAAGGACTAGGAGTAATATGATATTAGTGTTCCAATATTTGAGGGTCTGCTGCAAAAAAGAGGGGGGCTCAAGCTATTTACCAAAGCACTTAAAAGGAGGACAAGAAATAATATATGGAAACTAATCAAGGAGAAAAGCCACCTAGAAATAAGGAGAAATTTTCTGACAGTTGGAATAATTAATCAGTGGAACTTTCCTCCAGAAGTTTTAGATGTTTCATTGCTGGAGGTTTTTAAGATGAGATTGAACAGCCATTTGTCTGAAGTTGTACCGAGTCTCCTGCTTGAGCAAGGGTTGGACAAGAAGACCTTCCAACTCTGTTATACTGTATTCATGTGAAGATGTCAATTAGCAGCAGCAGTTCTGACAATCCTAGTTATGGTTATTAGACTGCATCATTGTTAGGCAGCAACCTCATATTTTTCCTACCCTGCCACACGCATCTGTGCTTCTACTCCTCACATATATTTTCTCTCTCCATTCTGCCACTTTGACTACCCTGCACTCAACCATTGTGCCGTTACCTACCCCTCCCCAGATCAGCTTCACAGAAGGCCAGCAGCTGCCCCAGCCAGATGGACCTTGTCAGCAGCAGAATGAAGAAAGGGAAAGGTCAGATGGGACAATGAAGGGTAGCAGGGGTAGATGTGGGAAGGGATGGAGTCCAGGGCCAAAAGGGCAGGGAGAGATACAGAGGTAAGGTGAAGTTGAAGCACTTTCTGACATCTGAAAAGAGGGCAGGCTGCCAAAAACATTAATTTTGATTATGTGACCATGGAGATACTGCAATGGACATAACTTTGAGGACCAGCCATAACTACCATTGAGCACTATCATAACTTCAAATGGTCACTGAGTGAATGGTTGCTAAGTGAAAACTACCTGTACCCCTTTTTCATTGCCAACTGGACTCCATGTCCTCTTCCTTAACTGTGAGAAAAAGCCATCCAGAGCTGCTTAAAATGGGAAAAATTTAAAACTTTTACAGAAATAAATCAATTCTGTGAAAGCATTTAGTCTTCAAGGTCCATTTAGAAAATTGGCGCATATATGTCATGTCAGGGACTCATTTAGTGACCGTGGACACTTACAGCAGAGATGAAAAAGGAACTTTATCAATCATCTTTGCATTTACAACCTTTGCAGATCAGTAAAAACTGAAGTAAGTTCATAAGCAGAGTTGCAATTTCACTTAGTGACCTCTTTGTTTAACAATAGAGTTGCCAGGCCCAAATATGGTTGCTAAACAAGGACCACCTCTACCCATAACACTTTCTACTCTTAGAAATCCCATTCTTGAATTCCTTATGTATGTGACAATTTTTCCAAGTATACAATTTTAAATATAGGGCTTCATTTTGAACATATAGATTCTGTTCTTACCACTTCGCTGCTTAGTCCAATCCATACAGGCTCCTTGTTTCTGAGCACTTGCAGCCATATGAATGATTCTGCATAGGGGTCTGAAATGGTGGCAAGTTTTGAATTTTCAGATTCACATTTCTTCCGTGCTTCTTCCCAGGTCATCTTGGGACCAACCATAGAATAGCTGCTATTTCCATAACTGATATAGTGAGATGCTGGAACCGTTGGTTCAGAGTAAGGTTCAGGACCTTTAAATATATATATATATATCAGTCAAGATCACACACAGTTCTGCTATTTTTTTATTCTGAAAACCCTTAATATTTAATTTTTATCTTTTCTTAAAATATCCTCTCAGTTCCATACCATGACCAAACTTTATTCAAAAAAATCAAGAGCACATTAAACAAATTGGTACAGTGAGTCACTTTAAGGAGATACATTTATAATATACTGTAAATGTATATCTTTAGTTATCCCAAATATGTGAATTTATGAAATCAGTACATCCGTTGAATATTTTTGGCCAAATAACTGATTCAGTGTTACTAAAAGCCTTTATATTTGACTTTAGATAGTTGGTATCATGATTATTTTTGTTAGTTCACTTTATTTAAATACTTCCTGAAGTTGATGGTAGTGTGATTTAAATTTACAATTTCTATATATTCCTTCACAATGTATTTTCTTGGTTACCATATCTGGCTTGTTGCAATCTTATTTGGCTCAAATGTGTTTGTTCACCCAGGTTTTTCTTTTTATATCTACAATTTTTATTAAAACTTTTTAAAAAGATGATAAAATCTAACACAAACTAAAATAAAGCAGGGGGAAAAAAAGAACAGAAAAGTAATCAAGCAAAAATAAAAATTCAAGAAAAGAAAATAGGTTGAAAAAAACTAGGAAAGAAAGAAAGAAAAGAAAAGAAAAGGAAAGAAAGAAAGAAAGAAAGAAAGAAAGAAAGAAAGAAAGAAAGAAAGATTCTAATGTTCTTCATTGCAGTTATAACTAGATATGTTGGTGTAGTTATATGCTTAACCTCTCTGATTATCCTAAATTGCATCATAATGATCTTCTTCCTAGAACCTATCTAATACTCAAAATCATAGCTTACAAATTCACTTTTTTCAAATTCTGATACGGATCAGTAGAAGATAATCTAAATCAGAGTTTCCCAATGTTTCTGGCTCTGTGGACTGGTGGGGGGGATGGTTCGTGCAAGCGCCAGCAAGCATATGCACACACAGCTCCATTTATGTGAGCAATGTGTGTGCATGCCTACTGTGCATGCAAATGGAGCATGTGTGTACACAGTCACCTACTGCTCACACAAGTGAGGTTGTGTACGCACGTGCACATGCTCACCGCCATTTCCATGGCCCAGTTGCAAACCCCTCACAACCAACTAGTGGGCCATGGCCCATAGGTTGGGGACCCCTGATATAAATTACATGTCTTATTCTCAGAAACTGAATTATTTCCCAAGATTTCTACAAGCTTACCAGTATTTTTTTGGCAGATGTAGGTCATCTTAGAAGAACAGGATCCAACTCTCCAATATCCTGCAAGCCTTTCAGGTTTTGTCACCATAAAAACGCAGTCACCCTATAATGTTTTTGCATAGCAAGAAAGACAATACAGTCACCGATATCATGATTGGAACAGTCTTTCTGGGATCTCTCCTTTATAATCTCCTTTATAATCTGTTTCTGGTAACTATAGAAGATGATCGCCATGTCAGTATCTGTCACTTGTCATTATGTCCCATAGAGTCTAGCACAGAAGCATCCTGAAGCACATACAATAGAAGCATATTGGGCCTCCATGAAATCTTTTCTTCAAAGGAAGATGCTGCCACTGACTATGGTATAGAACGGAAGAGTTAGAAGGAAGTCAGTGGTCTCTAACAATAGCTTCAATGAATCTTTATAGTCAGGGTACTTCATGAATGTTAGTGAATAACATGCTAAGGTTGTGCAGAATATGTGCCATCTCAGGCGAAGGAACCATCCATCTCTTCTTTGCTCGTGTCACCAAGCTTTGCCCTTTGGGATTCTGTGCACAGCTCATTGCATACATCGAAGGTAAGCAGCCATGAGAATCAAATCACTTCTGTGAATTTGAAGACCATAGCAAGATTTATGGATCAGGCATTCTAAATCCAGCAGGGTCCTTTCTTCCCAATACTTATTTTAATTTTATATATTGGTATTATTTACTTCTATAGATTTTTTACTTTAAATTTTATTTTACTGGATCTTTTTTTTTCTTTAACTGAGTGTTGGTATTAGTAAAATTCTCCAAAACATAATATTCATGGCATATTTTTCATTCATAAAAGGAGCAACAGGAGTAAGACTTTCAGTATTATATCACCCTCTACTGATAAGGAGAAAGCACAACAGACTTTTCTTATTTAATAGACAGAAAAGATCTGAAATATCATCTGTTTTATTCATTTATGCATTCATTCATTAAATTTATATGGCCAGCCATATCACAAAAAAGGGACTCAACGTCAAGGAGATTAACTACACATTTGTGGGGAAATAGAACAGAAAAAACCCCCAAAAATTGGACTTACATGGTATGAACGAGGTGACCCTTTAGCCCAATTTGTAAAGTAGACTCCACTCCCATCAGTCCAGACGAAATGTCCATACCAATTCTTGTCAGTCAATCCAATCCAAGTATTACCACTAGCACTTTTTAATTGCACTGTGAGAAAAGCTGGGGGTGTGGGTAGATAAAGAGATATATTTTAAAACAAAGTATTGTCAGGCTCATCACCAATTAAATTTTGTTCCAGGTTTGTAGATCACCAAGCACGTAAACCACACCTGGAAGCTGATTGGCAACCTATCTAAAAATGACTTTGATCAAGTGCGGCCAAATAATTAAACAGTCATAACTACTTAGTCATATCAGGATTGAACTGAAATCTGGCTCTACAGGCCTCCAGATAATGGTCAGCACATCAAGAGCTTTTCCTATCTAGAACAAGCTTGAAATATAAATCTGGCTATCAAAATGTACTGAACTCTGAGCCAATGAATGAGCTCACTTCATCATGTAACCCGTATGCTTTATATAAGTTTCAGTTGATACTTTCAGATAACTATGGGGGAAGATTGGTTCTTTATTAATTTGACCGTGAAATGCAATAAATAATATATACTGTATTTTTCAGAATATACAGTAAGATGCTCCGGAGTATAAAATGCACCTTAGATTTTGGGGAAGAAAATAAGAAAAAAAAATTCTATCTTTGCCTACCAGCATCCATTAGTATTCATTTGGCTAGCATCCTGTCAGTGTGTAGGAGAGTTGAGGGCTGTTTGGAGACTGAACCAGTATTTGCTGTATGAGCAACAAGGAAGGAAACAGCAAGGATCCTGGGAGTGGCTTAGCTCAACTGTTTTAAAACTGCATGCTGTGTTGATCTCTGAAACTAAAACTGAAACTCCTCTTCTCTGCTGGTGTTTTACTTGTATCGACTACCATGTTGGAAAACCTGCTTTTGGTATTGTATATTTACTTCATGTGTTATATTATATATAAAGAGAAGTTATTGAATCCTGCTGAATCAGTTACTTGTGTGTGCTTTCTGGATGTGATTGCTGCTGCAAACTCTGACAGTCCTTGAAGCAAATAGCAAAGAGCCAGGTCAGCTTCAGCACATTATTGCAGCCTGATTCAGCATGAGCAGCTGATTGGTGGGTGGATCAGTCTCCCAGAATACCCCAATCAGCTGTTCCAGGCTGCAGGGATTGCCACAGACCATTGACTCCTCCGTGCCTTGCATTTTTGGCTTCATTCAGTGTATAAGACACACCCAAATTTTCTCCCTCTTTTATGGGGGAAAAAGTGCATCTTATATTCCAAAAAATACGGTAAGCGCTGCTCGAAAAACAAATATTTTATCAAACTCTGCTTTGAAATAATCGTTACACATTTGTAACTGCTTTAAACTGATACTTAACTCATATATTATTACCGATGCACACTTTTTATATTATTGTAAAATTACTTTGAAATTTTATTGCCTTTATATTTTCAGCATGGCAACCTTTGAATTGGAAATGAGATAAGAAGAGAATGAAGCCATGGAGAAGGAGCATATCCTAAGGATTCTGGCAACATTTTTGTATCAACATTTGAAAAGCATCTAGAAGGTCCAGTTGGTTCAGAATGCAGCAACTCACATTGTTTTGGGAGGCCTTAGTGTGCACATGTGTCACCTCTCCTGTAGAAACTTCATTGGTTGCTGATTTGCTTCTGGGTGTAATTCAAGGTTCTGGTTATCACCCTTAAAGCTCTTCATGGCTTGCAACCAGGTTATCTGAGGGACTGTCTCTTGCCAGTCACATCCACACAACTCACTAGAGTGGGGAGGCATTGTTATGGGTCCCATCCCCTAAGGAGATACATCTGGTGAGACCCAAAAGAAGGGCCTTTTACGTGGTAGCTCCTTCCCTCTGGACTCTTTCTTAAGGCCCTGAATATGAGGTTTTGCTGGAGAACCCAGAGTGGGATGGGGTTCATTAGACAGCTGATTTGAGTGTGTGTTGTCACTAAGGGTGGGTGGGAGGGGTTATTTTATTTTATTATTACTTTATTATTTTTATTTTTTTCTACATTGTGTTTTTATTGTCTATAAACAACCTAGAGTAACTGTGAGCAAAAAGGCAGCTATATAAATTTAAGTAAGTAAGTAAGTAAGTAAGTAAGTAAGTAAGTAAGTAAGTAATAAATAAATAAATAAATAAATAAATAAATAAATATCTTTCACCTTTTTTCAAGTGGCAAAAGATTATATATACTGGAGGTTAGGAAAGAGGATTGGGCATAGAAATTCTTATAATTAAAGTAAGAGATGGATTTTTTTAAAAATGTTAATAGTCAATATGGTTTAAAGAAGAGATTGTACCTTGAACATTTTTGCTTGGTATACTAGCCAGGTTTCCTCCAAGGTTCCTGCAGTGAGCACGTGCATCACTCCAGTTTTTCTTCTCCTCTTCTACGAAGCCAAACATTTGGAAGCACTAGAAGAATAAGAAGGAATTAATTAATCCCTTGCTTAATTGATTAATTCATCTATCAATCAAGGACGGATTAATTAAATAAAAGAATAGAAACAACCAAGATATAATCAACAATCATGAAATGAAATCATAATTTTTAGCAGAACTTAATAAGTAATTCTGTTCTAATAAAATTAAACTTTCCACTTTCTTTTGGAAAAATATAAGCAATAATAAAAGTTAACATTTTTTTCCTTGGTTATATGCATCCTTATCTATTCTTTGTGATGTAATTGACTTCTTAATATTTTTATATTAATGATAGTTATATAGCCAAGTTTGTACCTGCCATCCTAGTTCTGATAATACCCAGGAGAGGGATTGATGAAAAAAGAAAGTGCCCAAGTCTTTCAAAATCTTGGTGGCCTGTCTTGGAGATACCATTCAAGGAAGCAAGACTTTTCAAATAACATTGCTTATGTACCCCAACACTGTAAATTACAGCAAGACCTTGACATACTGTATAATCTGTTGCTTAGTCACTGTTCAAAGTTATGAGAGGCCCACAAAAAGGTAATAATGACTCAGATTTAATGTTTCAATGACTGTCTCCCTCCCATAGTCATGTGATCAGATTTTGGGTATTTGGTAATGAGCCCACATTTATGGACATTTGCGGTGTTCCACAGTCACAAGGCCAAAATGTATTACTTTTTTTTTTTTTTGCTGAAAACTGATGTTTGTTTCTGTTTTCCATGAAAAAATTACCCATTGCAGACGGTGGGTTCATTTAATGACAATGGCGTTTGCTTAATGATAGCTGCATTCACTTTACAACTGTCACATTTACTAAACAATTGCTGCATTAAAAAAGTTGTAAAATCAAGTTGGTCACATGATAACCTGCTTAGTGATCAGCATGACTCATGATGGTAATTCATTGTTCAATTAAAGTTGTATGTTGAGAACTACATATAATAATAACATATTATTATTATATTATATAAATAATATAATAAATGTTAATAAAGGAAAAACATTTAAAATTCCATTTACATTCATGGAAGCAAAAGTAAAAATGGCATTTACCTGAAATGTTAAATCTATTTCTAAGAAACATGGCTGTTGTTGTGCTAATAACATTCATATTTTTCATTTTTACTGTTACAGATATTTCTGTTTTGTGGCACTGTTACTCTGTTCAAATATTGAACCTAATACAATAGATGTAATGTAGGATGTGAAGATATCTTTCCCTGAATTACCTATGTTCACTGAGAGGTCTAAAAAGACCATTGACTACCTGTGGCAAAATTTATGTATTTTGCATACATACAGGTAATCCTCAACTTGCAACAGTTCATTTAAAGACTGTTCAAAGTTACAACAGCACTGAAAAAGTGATTTATGACGATTTTTCATGCTTATGACCATTGCAGCATCCCCATGGTCATGAGATTTATATTTGGATGATTGGCGACTGACTCATATTTATGATGATTGCAGTGTTCCAGGGTCATGTGATCTCCTTTTATGACCGTCTGAAAGCAAAGTCAATGGGGAAATCAGATTCACTTAAAAATTGTGTTACTAATTTAAGAAGTGCAGTGATTCACTTAACAAATAAAAGTCGTAAAATGGGGCAAAACTCACTTTAATTTTTCACTTTTTCACTTAGCAACATAAATTTTGGGCTTAATTGTGGTTGTAATTTGAGAACCACCTGTATTGTCTCTAGGATATTTGAATAAGGAAAGGATCCTTTCTCAATATATTTACATTAACTATATCAATTACCTTGTCATTAAACCAAAGCCAGCCTTCACTGCAGCCTTTTGGAGTGGCAGGTAATGTGGGCGCTGCAGTTGAACGGACAGAGCTATTGTGTCTCTCGCAGATGAATGTTTTCTCAATACCGCAGTTTATATCATTCCAGTCACCTGATCAAAAAAATTATATTGTCATCTGGGAAGATTAAATTATTCTTAAAATAAATAGCAACAGCTCATATATAAGTTGCAATTGAAATAATGACGATGAGAACAATAATGGAAAGTGTAACAGTACATACTGGAATCCTATGGTATTTGTGAAACAATAGAAGCAGTACTCACTTATTGACCACTCATTCAGTAACCATTTACAATTGCAATGGCATTAAAAAAGATTTAGGACCTTAGTCCTCAAAGTGGCAGCCATTGCCATATCTCTATGGTCACATGATTGTGATGCAGGAACAGGGTAGTTAACATATGTTTAAAACTGTTTCAGTATCTCATGGTCACTTGATTGTCATTTATGACCTTGACAACCAGTATTCAACAAGCAAAATCAATGGGAAACCTGCAAGTCATACACATGACATCATGTTTAATGACTGCAGGTAATTTCATGAACAACTGCAGCTGGAACCACCATGGTAAATCAGGTGCAGCCATTTGTGTTTCATCTTATGATTGTGTGTTTTAGTGATGGAGTTGCCAGTCCCAGGTGTGAACAGTAAGTGAGGACTACTTATTTCTTATTTTTGTAGTCTACATGTTAATAATTCCAAAATACAATTCTATAGAAGAAATAGATAGGTGATTGTCTATCTCTTTTGGAATGCAATTGCCCTAATCCCTGGCCATTAACAAGACTATTTGGGATTTATGAGAATTGCAAATTGGAAATTGGTTCTCCCTGGGATAGTATAATACAGTAACTAAGTAAAGTAAGGTTGGATCTATGGATAAAACTTTAAATTCTTGGTTGGAGAATATGCTACAATATTATGAAGTATTTTGTTAATGTAAATATATCATAATGTAAAACATGCTAATTAGAGTTATAAAATAATGGTTTTCCAATATATTAATGATAGGATCTATGATAATGTGTGCCAGTTGACCCAAATTAAACAATGCTGTGCCTTATCCTGAACAAATACATACAGAGAGCTGTTAAAATGTGAAGTTTTTATTTACTTGCCTGAATAATAATACATAGCTACACAGTTTTCATCATCATTTGCAAAATTGGGTTCACCAGAGGCCCAGGCTTCATATGTCACTGGACTGCCATCCATCCAGCTGAAGAAAAATATTTGTCAGTCATCTACAATGCATGAATTTATGAAACTTACTTTTTCTTTTATTCCTTCTTTTGCCAAAGAGATAGCAGGATCAGGGGGGAAAGGGGTAGCTGTTGAAATATCATCTGCAAAATATTGGCCTGAAGTTATTTCAGACCATTTTAAGCTTTGGAAAAGTCTGTTTCAATCCTGAAACTTCAAAATCCAAGCAAAACTATTTCCGAATCACAACACTTATAAAATGGTTTGTGCAATGATAAAACATTTCTGTTGAGGTCCAGGTAGTTGCTCTGAATGCACAACAACTGTTGAAAGCTTGAGAAAGGGTGTTGCGAGGCTAGGAAAATTAGAATTGCAAATGGTTTATACACCTCCATTATTCAATCTCCTCATTATTTAAAGACAAAATAATCCTACCAAGTGGACATTGTAAAACAAAAGTAACTGAAATAAGGCAAGTAACCCATGACCATTCTTGCTGGCTTCCCCACTGGCGGAAGGTGGAAAGGTGTGGCTGATCACATGACCAAAGGATGCTGCAACAAGTCATAAGCTACTTGCCAGCTGCTATCCAAATTTTGTTCATGCAACTATGGCCAGAACTTTGAGGACCAGTTAAGGCTCTCTTCACTCAATAGCACCCTAATTTTAAACAGTCATTGAATAAAGGATCGATATTATAAAAGCATACTGGATTGTCAATTATCTAGATTTAAAAAAAAGAGAGAAAGAAATTCTGGGACTCTAATACAGGTAGGCCTTGACTTACAACAATTCATTTAATGACCATTCAAAGTTACAGCGGTATTGAAAAAAGTGATTTATGACTATTGTTTACACCTAAGACCATTGCACCATCCCCATGGTCACATAGTCAAAATTCAGATGCTTGATAACTGATATTTAGGATAGCTTCAGTCTCCTAGTTTCATGTGGGATCACCTTTTGTGACTTTCTGATTAGCAAAGTCAACAGTGAAGTCATATTCACTTAACAACCATGTTATTGACTTAACAACAGCAGTGATTTACTTAACAACTGAGTTAAGTGATAAAAGGAGGCAAAATTCACTTAACAACTGTCTCGCTTAGCAACAGAAATTTTGGGCTCAATCGTGATTATACCCTAATAATGTTCAAAAGGTTGAAATATCACATGGCAACATTCATTGTTGCATAGAGTTAAATGTCCGTGCTTGGGTTTTTTATTATCAAATCTCTAATGGCATGTTGTGGGCTTAAGAGAGATTCACAGCCTGCCTACTTGCACATTCCTTGATGAACTGCTTCCTTGCTGGCTCAAAGATGGCTATTAGTAAAAACTGAAGAAGTGCTTATCTTAAGCAGCAGAATGATAAATTGTCTCCACAGTGAAAGTATTGCAACCAAAGTTGATTTTTTAAAAAAAAATATATATTATTGCTTTCCCTTTCAGTAAATCTTGTTTTAAAACAATCTGTCAAAATCTTGGCAAGGGTTTTGCCAAGAGCCTAATAAAATCTTTCTTATTTATATTTATTCAAGTTTATTATTAAAAATAATTTAAAAACAGAATTACATTGCACACTGCAGCATTTTGTTAATGTTTTATATACGTTGTTTACCTACCTGAATTTTTTGTCAAGATCCAAGATTAAACCAATGTAAGAATTATAATACCTTCTATGATAGAAGATCTAATACATAAAAGAAAGAATAGGAAATAAAAATAATTATTTACTGCTTTAATATAAAGTAACAGTGATTTGCAAATCATCTTGAATGGATGCAACTAAACATAAAATAAATGACATAATTTTGAAATATGTTCTGCTTTTTAACATTGTAGTACTTTCGAAAATTCATTTGAATAAAAAGGCAGCATCTAAATTATTGTGTTTTTTAAATAATTTGTTTCCAACTACATTGAATGCATTAAACTTCCATTGACGTTAATTTAATGGGCCTCATCTTAATATATATTTTATCCAAGAGTTAAAAAGAAATTCTTCAGTTTCCGAAAACTTCTGGCTGTCACATCACACACACATGTATTATACACACACACACACACACGTATTATGCGCACACACACACATTTTCTGAAACCTCTTATTTTTAATAAGTAATTTTTGCATATATTTCTTACATATTTCCACAAAAAATTATTTTCTTCTTTACTGTCAATGGTGGTAAGATCACCATGATGTTGTTTGCAGAACTTCCGGGCTTTTTCTGCAGGCATTGTTTTTTTACTGAAATAATATTCATTGTTTTCATATCTGATCCATCCATCTTCAATTTTTATATAAGAATTTTCTGCAAAAGAAGAAGTAGAAGGAACGACTTATATATCCCTTTGCATCCATTCTACAAAATCACAAAGCAAACAGAGCCACTTGAAGATTATGTGCTGTCCTTTGGGACAAAGCTCTTCCTTCCAAGATCTTCTGAATATGAACAAGCACACCCAAAAGACACATCCATGTAATAGCTGGCAAACTGACCTCAACTGAATGCTTCCAATAACTGGAAGAAGCTTCTACGCAAATGTTCCAGAATACCCAAAAGTCTCTTCTGGGTATTAAATATACTGGGATGAGACATAGGACAAAGCAGTGTAAAGCAAAGCAATGAAGAGGCCATTTTAATTTGCTTTCAGAACTAGCTGGAGAGAGAAATGAGTAGTTGCCTTATGCAATGCTTAGCTCACTTTATTCAATCAAATCACTATCAAATGCAATCACTTCATCAAAGCTTTGCATATTTGGGGATGTCCAATGATTTCTTATGGAAATGAAAAGTACCCTACTTTTTAGTAACTCCTCTTTGGCTATATTTCTATGTATGCTTAGGAAGCCCCTACTCAATTAATGCCTATGAAGAGAACTATGGCACCTTCCTTTCACTTAAGGAAAATCACAATGTCTGTAGTTTTATACCATGCAGAGCCAATGTCTGGCTTTCTTCAATACTCTGAGAAATTGGTCTGCTTACGAACTCAACCATCATGCATCACATTTTAGGAATGCTCCTTTATGTCATACAGCCAAATTTAGCTCAAAGCAGTCTGATTCAAATCAAACTAAAATGCAATGCGCAGCCATAGTTTTTAGTAAATATTGCATACAACATTTTTGACATTAAATTGCCCAACGTACCAAAGTTGTCGACTGGTTGGTCTGTTGGTATGGTTAAACCTGCAAAATTAAATATTTTAATTACAAGAAATTCAAGCCAATCTTATCACATTACTCCATTTTGCAAAAGGCAATCCATAAAAACTGAAATATTGTACTCACTTAATGTATTTCTACATTTACAAGGAAATAAAATCATAGGAATCTAGATCCCAGTTTTGCCCAAAATCCAAATGGCCATTTGTGAAAGAGCTATAAAGCCCTGGCTCTTCACTAATGCCTTTTGCATGGAAGAGCGAGATTTCTCACTTCATTGCACTTGCCATTTTTTATCTTTTTATTGGTTTTACTGTAATTTCTTTGATTCTTATGAGCCCAGAGTGATTGAAAGTCAGCATATAAGTTTAATAAATTATTAATATTATTGTTATTATTATTACAGAATAAATTTTTGTCATCAATAATGCCATCGGTGTACTAAATTCTTGAGCATCATTTAGATATATTTGACATTGTACTGTGTTACTTAAGTTGTATGTACAAATATAAAATCTGCAGTAAAACTGAATTGTATTTAAGGCTCCCAAATTTCTCCCTAAAAAGAAAGGGGACCATCACCTAAGTGCTAAAAAGACCAAGGTTTTCAGTTGTGCAATGAATAAATCTCTATTGTCTGTACTAATAATCTACATGAGAATGAAAAACATATTACCTTTTGTAATTTGACAGATCCAATATTGTAACCGCCTGCATCTGGTTGCAGTCCAAAATCTAGTATTCCCCCATATTAATTTGCATCTTTCATTATTTTCACTTTCTGAATACCAAGTTAATATTGGTTCATAGTTTACCTACAGTAAAATTAAAATATATTTACATATTTACTTTTTAAAGCCATAAATTTTAATATTTGGAAAAAGAAACAAATGTACCATAATTGCCTTTCAGTAATGTCCATATGTTTGATGGGCTATTAGCAAAATTTTACCAATGTGATTCTGAGTACTGAAATTGAAGAAGCTGTTATGCACTTTTCATATTAGCCTGATTCACTGATCCAGTATATTTATTTACAACTTCACATATTTGGTGAAGTTACAAATATGGTGTAACTTTAAAAGAGGAGCTAACAATATTTGTAACTTTTATAAGATATCTGTATGATGTCAGTTTTGGAAGACAATTTTCTTTTTGCTTCTAAACTGCCACATATTTTAGCTGGGGAAGTTGGGAGAGGGTTGTTGTTGGAGCAGTAGAAAGTTAATCATAGCAACTTTCCGTACTCAAGGACTTTTGCCTGACTTTTGCCTGCATCTGATGGAGACTGACTGAAGATTGTATCCAGTGGAGTGTGAAAAGTTGATTGGACAATATGATGAACTTGTGGGTGTGGGGCAGGACTGTGAACTCTTGGCTGGGTGGGGGAAACCTGGAAGCTTTCAGATTTGGGTTTTCCCAATTGTGCCAACATGACATCTTTAATAAATTGGAACTTTGAGGAACCTCAGGCCTCGGAGCTTTATTTTGTTGGGGGTGTTCCTTGGAACCCTTACATTTGGCTTTGTTCTTATGTTGTTCCAGAAGTCCTGGGATAGGAATCATAGGATGCTTATGAAATGTTGTTGGTTGCGACTTGAACGCAGGATAGGACAAGAAGACAAGACAAGGATTTGAGGGTAGGACAAGAATCAACAGGGGAAGCTTCTGTACAGTATTTAAAAGCAGCCCCATGTACAGCACATATCAGCAGTTCAAATAAGAAAGAAAGATAGATGTGACTGTGGATAGTGTCCCATATTCTAAGAAAGGATGTAAATGGCACAATAGATGAAGTTGTGCAAAAGTCTTTCCTCGTCATAATTGCAGCATTCCTCAAGGGAGCATGTTTCCATCCATAATTAGAGATGGAATCTCCCTGCAGTCAGTTAGCATCTTAACTCCAAACTGCCTCATCTTGCTGGGATTAAGATCCCTAAGGTCTTATTTAAGTATTCTCAATTTGTTTATCTTTTTACCATTATGTAAGTCACTCAGAGTAGCCTTATGGGTACGATGACCAGCATATAAATTAAATTAATTAATAAATTAGAATGTTTATCCCCTCCAGAACCTAGAAAACGTCAGCCATCAGGAAAGGGGGCTCAAATGAATCACCTGTTCATTCAATGGCTGAGATATAAAGTTATGTATCCCTCATTGATCATATTTAACCTCATGTCAATGGATCATATTCCCTACCAGTTTTAGATAGATGCTAAATAAAAATGATGGACCAGTGTACATGCCTTGCACTGGTCCATCATTTGGGAGGGGTATCAGGCTCTGAGACAAATCATAATCCATGGCTTAGAAATTGACAGCTGTGCCAATCAAAATCCTCCTTCAGAAAGAAGGATCATGACAATAGAGTGTTCCTCTTTCCCAGTTCACGGAGTTGATCCAGAAGGATACTATGGTTGATGATAACGAAAAGCCACTGAGAAGTCAAGTAGTATCAACAAAAGTGCAATCCTCCATCATGATCCTGCCAAAAATTAGCTATAAGTATGACTTCTGTGTCTCCACTTCCAAACTTAAAAATATGGTTCCATGCAGTAGTGCTATTCAGCCAGTTCTATCCTGTTCAGGCGAACTGGTAGCGGTGGCTGCAGGAGGCTCCGCCCATCCACCCAGACATCATCATGTCCTGTTTTTGATGCTCTGTGCATGCACAGAGGTGGTGCAAGCAAGCAAAGCACCCGCGTGCACGAGCACACTCATATTTGTGAACCAGTACTGAAGGTAAGTGAATACCGCCACTGGTTCCATGTAATTAACTTCTTCCAGAGTTCTTTACATTCTAGCAAAGAACTAACTAAAGAAAGTTGGATATAGGTCCAAAATTGTCTAATATTTTCGGATCAAACTATTCTTCTGCAAAGGTAGAATACACTTTTTCAAGGCACGTGCACTGGTTCATCATACAACAGTGCATTCATCACTCTCCCTACACTGAATACTTGTCACTTTTCTGTCACTTTTCTTTTGCCCTCCATAGTGATATAAATTTTTCTGCTAGGAGGGAAAAGAAACAGGATGAGTGAAATCCAGTACTTAGAAGTGTTGCTTGCTCAGTTCACTTCTTCCTCCCCAATGCAGACCCATCTTCCTTGCATTGGTCCTCTTTCTGGGTCATCAACACACTAATTAACTTCAACCTATTTCCTTGATCTCTCTAGATCTCTTTTACTCTTCAATTGCTTCGGAAGTTTTCAGCCTTTTTTCCAGGGGTTCAGATATCATGATGATATTTGGTCAGCCACCATACTGTCTGCTTTTGCTAGGTGTGCTATGAAAACCATCTTCTCAATAGCATCATCAATATCAAATGGCTCCAATAGGCCCAATAGCAGCAACAACAGTATTCATAAACATAACACATAAATTGCCATGATGTCCTGTATTCCACCTTACCATCCACCAATTGCATTTTTATGACCACTGGGAATACATGACATATTGGCCATCCAGCTCAAAGTTGTAGGCATTTAAAAATACATAATATTTAGGAAAAGGACCATTCAGCTATTCTTAATTAACTGGAGGGCCTCTCACACCAGCAAAAACGGATAAAGAAAAAATTAGCAGGATATGAGATGAAAGATTTCAAGTAGTTTGTAAATTCTATAAGAACAATGCAATCAAACCTTTTGCAATAGCAGCCTGAAGTAAGCCCATAGAAACTGTCAAAATAACCTGAATCAAGTCAAATAGCAATATCGTGTTATATTAAGATTTTAATACTTCGTTTAACTGTTAACTAGAATACTGCTATATGTCTATGAAAATATCTACAAAAATATTACTAATACCTGTACTCCATTAAATATTAAGAATACCAGCAATTCCAGGTAACATTTGTGTTTTGCACATTAATTATATACTTACAGGAGACCCGTCACTCCAAGTGTATTCTGGGCTGGAATCCACAATTCTTAAACCAATCCAGCTCGATCGATAATTTAATCTAAAATGTAATAATCAGCAAGTATGTTAAAATATAATTTATGCACATGTCTTGCTTAAATATAACACTGAAATTTTCTTTCTGTGTTTTTTTCACATACAGAACCTAAGCATGTCAGCAAATGAATAACCCCAACAAATATTCAAGATCTCAAATATGACATATGCCTTTACAGCTGAAATATACCCATTTGAATGGAAATAGATTCTGATGACTACTATAGAATTTATTTAAGTAATCTTGTATAGGATAATACTAAAAGCCTTGTTACTTTGATGATAATTATAACTGAATCTACATTTTTGACCATTCATTATTATTTCTGTTGTAACCACTTAAGGATTTTTTTTAAAAAAGAAAAATAGTGATGCCCATTGATTATTGACATAAATTGGATCTCTAATTCTGAGGGCCCTGAGAGAAAACTCAACTATATGCAAAGTATTTCAGAATGAATATACAGTATATAGGATTATGAGGTTTACACTAGTTATATATTCCATGATGATGAATTCAGTGCTCCAATAAACGCTTTGCCAGGAGTGTTTCTGCCTTGACATAAGAAAAAATAAATTTTATTATACTCACAGTTGGTTTAGTAACTGAAACTCTTGTTTATTATGAAAAGAAGCCAGATCTCCTCCAATTGATTTACAAAAGGCATGTGCCTCAAACCAAGTTTTTTCACTTTTCTTCTCTGCATATGCCTAAATGCATATAAATACATCTCATTACAAATGAGCATTAACACTGCAGTTGTCTACGTCCCTTCTTGGCTCATATTTGATTATCTTTTCAATTAAGTATCCAAATTTTGCTGTTTGATACATTCATTTTTTACATTTTTTAAACCAATAGAATACCTATTGATCATCATCATCAGTGGTGGGTTGCCCCCGGTTCGCACCGGTTCTATAGAACCGGTAGTAAAACCGGCAGGAGGCCCAGCTCACCGACCCCGACATCACCAAAATGCTCCTGCGCATTTTGCATACTACCGGCCCCATTGCGAACCGGTAGTAAAGGTAAGTAGAACCCACCCCTGATCATCGTCATCATCTTTTAACAACCCCATAATCCCTTGTGGGCTGGAGTCTGGGCAACTGAATGGAGCTGAGTGTTTACTGGCCGGATGCCCTTCCTATCACCAATGCAGAGTTTTGTTCAGCAGATATATTCTCATTGTGCCCCTAGACTGAAATATCTGCTTCTACCTAGGAATTGAACTCACAGCCTCCTGATTGTGAGGTGAGAGCTCACCTCTAGGCCACTGCATAACTGCTAATAGAATATCTATTGATGTTAAAGAGAAAATGGGGAAGTTAAAGGGAGAGGGTTTTTTTGCTGCTGCCATAAATAGAGTTATGCAAATTGGATGTAAAGGAACACTTGCTGGATTTTCTACACATATTCCCCTCTCCCCTTTCCATGTAGGATGATGATAATGATAATAATGATGATTTAGATATGTGATGATTTAGACATGTGTCTAAAAGACAGTTAGGCAGCCAGTTTGGTGTAGTGATTAAGGCATCAGGCTAGAAATTGAGAGATAGTGAGTTCTAATCTCGCCTTAGACATAAAGCCATTTGGATAACTTTGGATCTGTCACTCCCTCTCAGTCCTAGGAAGGGGGCAATGACAAACTATTAATCAAAATTTTTTGCCAAATTAAGTGAAGGAATTTATCCAGGCAGTCTTGAGAAACAAACACAATTGAATGGTAGAAAAAAAATTATGACAAATCCACACATATGAAGTTGTAAAGAGTTAAAAATATATGAAACATTGATTGTAACAAAAATGCCAACCTGTAACCTTTCTATTAGGGCCATAACTGTCTTAGGCTAATTCAATAATAATAGTCATCATCTTGATTGGATTACTTAAACCAGGACTTCTTGGCACATTGTAATCCAAAGTGTCTCAAGGCAATTAATGAGGATTTCAGAGAGAGGACCAAAAATATGCTGGCTGCAAAGGAACGTGACCAGTTTCCATATTCTCTATTATTCCTTTCTTGTTCTTCCAATTACTTTATTTCCTTTTCAGAGGAGAGTTAATCATGGCTGAAGGGCACCAAATTCCCACTGGAAGGGACTGGAGGAGGGGCTGGGATGCTAGCTCCTGTTGCAATGTCTGCCTCTTGACATGGCCTGTCTCAAAGGGCTGAATCAGATTGAGCAAGCAAATACCAATAGCACTTAGACTTATATACTGCTTCATAGTGCTTTACAGCCCTCTCTAAGTGATTTACAGAGTTAATTTACAATTTACATATTGACCTCAACAATCTGGGTCCCCATGTTATCGACCTCGGAAGGATGGAAAGCTCAGACAACCTTGAGCCTGGTGAGATTCAATCTGCCAAACTGCTGGCAGCCAGTGATCAGCAGAAGTAGCCAGCAATACTGTATTCTAACCACTGTGCCACCGCAGCTCTGACTCCGAAACGGGCTGACCCACCTTGAAGCAGACATTCCTCGTTGGACTTGCAGTCCATCCTGTGGAACATGGGAGAGGGGGTGTTGGTCCCGGGATTGTAGGAAGCGTCACCCCTTCAGCCAAATGCTTGCAAAGGAAGGGGGCCCTCTCCTCACAATTGACAACATCCCACAATCCAGCAGCATCTCCCGTTCTCATGGCAACACAGCCTGGATTTCGGCCTGGCAGAATGGAAGACCAGAGCCAGTTAAATTTAATGCATCTCCATAGTCAAGCTAAACAGGATAAAAGCTTTCCTGCCAGAGTCTATTTGCTCTGACAGAGTCCATACCAGGCATTTTTGCATTCCAGTGAGTGAACTGAATGGGGTCTCCATTGATCCAGTTGAAAGTCCCTGGATTCTCTACATCCGAAAGGCCAATCCAGAAATATTTTTCAGGACGGTGTCCAATTTGGCTAGTCAGGAAGGCCTGCTCAAATCTGTGGTAAAAATAATTCAAATCAGGATGGTCTCTGATTTTCTCCATTTTCAGATTCTGCAGATGGTTAATTCTAGGCCTGATTTACACTTTTACTAGCCAATCCACATCAAAAGAGTGTTGTTGGGAAAATAAGAGGCAGGATTTGGTACATTTCTATATATTAAAACAGTGGGATAAAATTATCACTATCATCACCATCACTCTCTCAGATCTGAAAGTACAGCACTAGATTTACAGATTCCTAATCAGAGCTGAGAAGTCTGCTCCCATAACATACATTAAGGCTAACAGGACTGGAGTAGGATCTGCCCAATCCCTTCTACAAATATTTATTTATTTATTTATTTTATTAATTAATTTTATTTCTATACCGCCCTTCTCCCGAAGGACTCAGGGTGGTGTACAGCCTAATTAAAAACACAAAGACAGACAGAGTTTAAAAATAATTAAAATTATTAAATAATAGGCCCAATTTATAAAACCCCAAATTTAAAATCCCATTTAAAACCAATTAAAATCTTTACATTGATAGCCCAGCCTGGCGGAACAACATGGTTTTGAGGGCACAGCGAAACACACGGAAATCAGAGATTTTACGAATTTCTGGGGGCAGATAATTCCAAAGGGCAGGGGCTCCCACAGAGAAGGCCCTCCCCCTGGGTGTCACCAGCTGACATAATTTGGCCGATGGCACCCTGAGGAGACCCTCTTTGTGGGAGCGAACTGGCCGGTGGGAGGCTACTGGTGGCAGAAGACGGTCTCGAAGGTATCCAGGTCCAATGTCATGGAGCGCTTTAAAGGTGGTAACCAACACTTTGAATCACACCCGGAAGACCACTGGGAGCCAATGCAGCTCGCGTAGGAGGGGTGTCACGTGGGCACAATGAGTTGCGCCCATAACCACCCGCGTGGCCGCATTCTGGACCAGTTGGAGCCTCTGGGTGCTTTTCAAGGGGAACCACATGCGATAGCTCTCTTGACCTAGCTGTTTAACCAAGACTACAGTTGCATTATAACATTCTCTACAGCAGTATTTCCCAATTTTGGCAGTTTTAAGATTGTGAACTTCAACTCCCAGAATTCCCTGGCTGTCTATGAAATTCTGGGAAATGAAGTGCACATATCTTAAGGTTGCTGAGTTGGGAAATACTATTCTACATCAGTGGTCCCCATATTTTTTAAATCACACATCCTTATCAGTAGAAAATTTAAGCGTGTACTTCAAAATAACTATGTTTATTGTAAACTATATCTATGTATTATTTTACTCATGTATTATATGTATTATAAAACATAATCCAAATGTATATTATATGTTTTATATTTTTTATATTAAGTCTTAGTTGCTATTTTTTATTTTTGAGAAACAATAGGCATCCTAAAATTTTCTTCCTGCACCGCAATGGATCAAGTATATGCATCCCAAGTTGGAGAGCACTGCTCCAAAGAATTCTTCATATTAAACTAATATAACATTCCTATCTAGAACATCGTAAAAGAGGCTGGTTTAGAGTAAGTGTTGCAGCGAGATACTACATCCTCATTCTTATACACACTGAAGCATCTTTTTGAAACTGGAAAAACTGAAGAGCTGAATTAACATTAAAATATATCCTGGGAAACATTTATTTTGAAATATTCATTAATCACAACAGTAATCATAAATCCATATAAAACTCAGGGAAGTAAACCAAGCTTTAGATGATATGTCAAATGAACGCATGTAAAATTAGTATGAAAAATTAGGCATAATTCACAAAAATGAATCCACAAACATCAGGATAAAATAATACACAAACAGTTTAGAATCAAGGGACGAAATTTGTGAAAACATTTTCCATGCCTAGATTTTTTTTTCCATATGTGTCACTAGGTATCACAACACAGTTTACTTTAAAATAAATTAGTGTAAAAAGCAGATAAACAGAAAATCTATTTACTGTTTCGTTTGCTAAGTAAAGTGGGAAAAAAGTGACCAATCCTCTGCAACTAGATAAAGGTAAAGATTCCCCTTGCACATATGTGCTAGTCATTCCTGAATCTAGTGGACGGTGTTGATCTCTGTTTCAAAGCCGAAGAGCCAGCGCTGTCCAAAGACGTCTCCGTGGTCATGTGGTCGGCATGACTAAATGCTAAAGGCGCACGGAACTCTGCAAATAGTTGGCCAATTATCTTGAGCTCATTCATAAAGATGAAAAATAAAGAGAAAGAGAGAGAGATAGGGAGAGGGGTAGATAGATAGAGATAATAGATATAGATAGATAAATAGAGAGAGAGAGAGAGAGAGAGAGAGAGAGAGAGAGAGAGAGAGAAGAGAGAGAGAGAGAGAGAGAGAGAGATGATAGAGAGATATGATAGAGAGAGAGAGAAAGAGAGAGAGAGAAAGAGAAAGAGAAAAAAGACAGACAGACAGACAGACAGACCGACAGATGGAATATTTTGTTCTGACCCTTTCAACATATTTACCTATTCTCCACAGAGATTAGAAATCCTTGATTTGTTTCACAAGATGCCTTTGCTTCTGAAAATGTTCCAAGTGTTTTTCCAATTAAGTAACAATAGAAACCATATCTTTTCCAGCCCTGTAAATGTAGCATACATACACACAGAATAATATTAGCCTAAATTTATTTATACATTTGTTTGTATGTTTGTTTGTTTGTTTAACACTTTCATCCTGCCCAAACCAAAGATTCTCAGATTTACCGAGTTATCTTGATCAAAGAGTGACCATTAATTATTTTAAATTCATATTTTATGTGGTATATAGTGATAGTCTCAGAATCTAAAAGGTGCTGTGAAATCAATAAATGTTGATAGACATAAATTTATAGAATTCAATTTCTGTGTCAACAGCTTCAGATTTATTTATTTTTGTAAGAACATTTCTGAAATATGGATGCCCATACAAATCACAGCAATTTACTTTTAAAGTAAATTTGTACTTGTACCAGTACAAATCAGCATTTTTCAGTTTCAGATTGAAAAATAAAAATAAAAATGTGTTCCTTCTGTTTAACCATTATCTCAGGTAGTTTTGTTTTTGTTTTTTGTCATATGGTAAAGGTGAATAAATTGTCTTCTTATAATATTATAGAGAAAATTTTTCTGTCTATGTGATTGCTAAGAGTTGACACCAATGTTAGGAGTGGAGGGGACTATTCATCTGAAGGCAAAACTAGCTTTCTGGTTGATATTTCCAAAACTTCATAAGAAGATGAATAACTATTATGAAAGATCAAGAGCTCTACAGTTCTTTAGGCTTACTTTCTGGCATTTTGGATCAGCAACTTCGTCTGTTCCAGGAAGAAATTCTGAAGACTCTTTTTTACAGATGTATCCTAATTCCTCTTCACAGAAATGATCCGCCATGTATCCATTCTGAGGATGGAAGGATGAACAAATCTCACTGAAAAGGAATCCATTACTTTTACCCCTTCCTATTTTTTTTTTATGATTTACATTTTTGCTTTTCTTTTCTTTTTAGTGAGCTGCATTATTGCACAATACTTGTTATAGCTTCATTTGTCTAAATTCTGCAGCCATACTAACATCTTGCAAACAGATGTAAATGTTTATATTAAGTTGGGAATGATAAACATAGTTTTTAGCCTACAAAAATTAAGTTATTTCAAAATATAATTCATTAATATTACCTCAGGTTTCCAAAATATAAAATATAATTGCATTAGGAGTTTTTTTCACCAAATATACAGCACACTTAATCCAAATTTAGCACACCTAAACAAGCTTTTGTTCTTCATTCAATGCAGATTAAAAGTTTATTCCCAGTCTTCTGAAAAAAATGCTCAATTGAACTCAGAATGTATTTTTTAAATTTACTTACTTATTAGAATGTACTATACATTTTAAAGCAAAGTATTAATTACATAGTAGCAATCCATTTCAATATGAATGGACAGTTAAAGACTCCATGAGGCTTCTAAATGTTTGTTTAGTAGCTCCCAGACCCGTCTGTAATTACCAAACTGTAGAATAAGCCAAAAAATAGGCTTTATGTTGCTTTTATAAATGAAAATTTACCCCAAAACAATGTTTATGATTGTGACTAATCATGGTTACTTGACATTATTAATCACTTTATTACTAACATCCTGTCCCCCCAAGTATTAAGCTATGTCCTTAATCACAAAAACCCAGCCTTTCTATATAGAATTAAATGCCCTTACATATTCAGTCCTGACTCTGATAAATAATAATGCCCTTATCAAACAATATTGTTAAACAAAAATGAAATCAACATGATCAATAAAATTAGCTCAATACTTAACAGCAACCCAGCAAGCAAATATTAACATTAAAAAAATGAACACATCAGAAATATTTGAAAGCATATACTCTGGAGTATAGCTCCAGAATATACACATCCATAATAATTTAAATCAGGTGTTAACCTAGAGCTGCCAGATAATTTAGAACAGGACAACTCTATACTAATCCATTAATCAAATAAAAAAGCCTCCAATCCTGTTTTGGAGGCTCTCAAAATTGTAACCATGGTGGTGCTGTAGTTAGAATGTAGTATTGCAGGCTAATTCTGCTGATTGTCAGCTGCCAGCAGTTCAGCAATTCAATTCTCACTGGCTCCAGGTTGACTCAGCCTTTCATCTTTCCGAGGTGGGTAAAATGAGAACCCAGATTCTTAGGGGCAATAGGCTGATGCTGTAAACCACTTAGGGAAGGCTGTAAAAGCACTCTGAAGCGGTATATAAGTCTAAGTGCTATTGCTAAGTGCTTTTATCAAAAGCAGTGATTCTTAAAAAAATTAAGAAATGTTGATCTATGGAATAAATTATATTATGGAAAATAGGTTAAACAAATTTCTAGACACAAATTTTATCCAAGAGAGAACTGAAGAGGGGAAAAAAAAATATCCACCAGACAATTAAGGGTTCTTATTGTTACCTTCCCAGTCATGATGACACAGTCTTCCTGCACGTTGCTTATAAGCGTGGGTTCTCCTTTCTGCCATTTGATGAAACTCACAGTAGTACCATCACTCCATTCAAAAGATGAAGAGACCTTCTGGTCATTTAGGCCTATCCACAAATTATCTGTTGCTTCTAAAAAGATAAGTCCATTTTATCCATTTGCTCTCAAATTTAATGAATGAAGTCCAGAGATTGTATATAATGGTCCAACCCATAGACCTATGTTGGTCAGGATATAATTTGGATGTATGCAGCAGGATGTAATCTGCCATGGATATATGCAGCAGTTGTAGCATAATTTAAACCACACTGGTTCCATAGATTTTTTACAAATATTTTTACAAATATTTTAAATAAATACTCTTTTTTTTCCTTGTGATGGCTGCATCAGCAGTTATTTCTTTATTTTCCTTTCCAGAGTATTCAAACATGAAATAAGCCTTCTAAATATACTTACTATAACCAAGCTGAGAAAAAACAAAGCTGTATTCCTCAATGTCACGTATACTTAGTAAATGTCCACCATCCTTTTGGCAAGAGACTGAGGCATCCTTCCACGTTTTGCGATCTCTGTTCAGACGGTAACAGTGCTTTGCATATCCAACCCAGCCTTCTGGACATTTAACTGGCTTAAGATCATCTGAAAAAAACAATAGTTATATGTACACCATCAAGAATTGGGACTGGAGGTAGGGGGTATATCCTGATCTAGTATTATGATGTAATTAATTCAATAAATAGAATTTATTAGAAGCAAATTTGAAGCAATGCATTTTAAAGATAAGATATTTCATCCACTGTTTTGAGGATATTTTCCTGAAGAGTCATCAGGTTTTATTGTAACCAGATCTAATTTTTCAGTCCAATTTTTTGTGAATCAGGCAGGTATACTAAAGAAGCAACTTTTTATGTCCTACATGATTGTTTAACTATTTTGAAATTATTAATGCTTTTTTACGGTGTATGTTAATTGGCATAACTATTTTTACCAGATCATTGCTTTTCTTCAAAACTTCCATCTTATTTTATAGAAATTTACAGAGAGCAAACTAAAAATAAATTTTGCAGCAGCATACATACATACATATACATACATACATACATACATACAGATATACATACAGATATAGATACATATGTACATGTGTGTGTGTGTGTGTGTGTGTGTGTGTATTATGTATATCTATCTATAGTATGTGTGTATGCACATACACACACGTGGGCACAGAGTTGGGGGCAGATTTTTGGTTATAAGTTATTATAGTCATAAGTTGAGTTATAAGTATCCATATGACGGAACTTGATTTTATCACAGTTTTTGCAGCATTCTATAAACAAATCATTGTGTTAGTTAAGCAAATGTATAGTCATAAATTTCATTCTTTCAGCAAAAAATATATATATATATCCAGCAAAAACCATGTTCTGTGATTGTGGGACATAGCACTGGTCCTAAAGGTAAACTAGTTGCCAAATCTTCCAAAGACAGTTACCATAAATAAACTCAGGAGAGCAGGTGAGGGATGGAATGACATTTTATGATGGCTAGAGATGCTTTACAGCACCTGGGTTCTGGATCTGTCTAATTCTGAATGAGATGAATAAGATGAAGACTGTAGTTTAGGATCTTCTCTATGCATGCATACCTTTAGTTCTGCAAATCTTCAGAATTTAACTCATCTAAGAGGTGTGCAACATTTCATATTAAAATTTTCTGGAATTAAAATTATGCTAAATACATTTTTCTCTATTTCCTTGGGATCTTGGATAATCAGAATAGTGATGACAATCATCTCCCCATTCCCACTCCCAGCTATAAGCATAAGTGTATATATTGGATTTTTAGGCTGCCTTGCCTCCTGACATTTAGTGGACCTTTTTGGCCTAAGCAAAATTGTTTTTGCATAATGTGCATTCAGAACCTGAATTTCTGCATGTTCTCCTGTTCAGATATCTATTATTTCACATTATTCTAAATAGATTGCTCTGAGACCAAAATCATCAATAGAAAAAGAATTTTAAAAATGTTATTTGGTCATGAGTGCCGTGTATATCAGTGAAAGAATATTTATTCAGTTAACTTAATTTCCAGTTTACAACCTACCTGAAGAAGGTGTAGATGCCTGCATTGAAGAGTTCATTCTTTTACAGATGTATCCATGCTTCAGGTCACACAGATCATTTTCCCATTTGCCATTCCTACTCTGGAATAATCCACAGGTTTTTCCTGTTTCTGAAGAGGGGCTACCTGTAAGAGACAGTGAACCAGATTATCCTATCACTGCTTGATGTCCAAGTTGATAACACTTTTTTAATCTGTAAAAAATCATAATGTTTTTCTGCCTTCTTCAATTGTATCTCATGATACAATTTTATCTGATATAATAAATATATATGAGCTTTACTGTATTTACTGTGGAAGTCTCCCTCTGTGGCTGTGCACCTTTCATCTGGGGGAAGACATTGTATTTTCTATGCAATTAAACATTGTGTGATTTCATATGTAATTAACCAATCATGGCTTGTGACAAATGCCATTTTTCCAATTGTTATAATGCTAACTATTTAGAAAAGTGTAATGCTTTGAAAGGATGCTTCATTTCAACAAAACTTCAATGCAATCCCTCAGAAAAAGACAGTCAGTCAAACTGTCCTTTGACAATTCTCCTTTGTTGAACTGGACTGTAGTGGCTGCCTACCTTCAATCACTGACCCTTTTGACCAGATCAAAGGGGCCAGCCAGATCAATTCTGTATATGAGTATATGAGTCAGAACAATTTTTCAAGTCAAGGCACAGCTTCCATCTCAACTGTCATGACTGACAGGAGTTAGGTGGCACATTAGTAAGAAATGGAGCCATCTTGCACAGGCCTATGAACTCTATACAGGGGGATTAGTTTACTTTATTGTCATTGCACCTCGTACAACGAAATTAAATGCCATCCTCAGTGTACATCATACATAAGAAAACTATAAAAATAAAACAAAAACACACATCCTTCACATTCTATATAATTGAATTGAAAACCTCTGATACTGCATTAGTATTACACTATACAGTATTACATATAGTATTACACTATACTATAAATACCATATTGAGCTAAACACAGCTACTGAGTCTCTTTTAAGAGTTTTCTGTCAGGATCAGAGGCATCTTTGGGATGATGAAAAAAGTGAAGGTGACAATACGGTAAGAATAAATGTTTATATACTTCTTATAAATTTCATATAAGAATGCTAGAGCATTCTTAAAGAAAGTGGCAATTAAATCAAAAATATAATAAATATATATAATTACAAAAAAAGACTACAAAAATTTTAAATGCTACCCTAACCTATTTAAGAAGAATGATTGTGTATAATACAATAGGAATTTCTAAATACTCTAATCTTATTATCCTTAAATGTTTACACTTTTCTTTATGAAATACCAATGGCCTTCTAACTATAAACATTTACTCACCTGGAGCCCAGTTTAAATATTTTAAAGGTTGGTCATTAATCCACTGCCATCCACTGTCAAAATCTGGATTATAAAGACCAATCCAGTAGTTGGCTTCTGAACTTTGTGTTAATCCTAGTTGAGAAAGAAAATTCACATATGATCAACTCTGTAACTCTGACATTGAAGACAAAATAGACAAAGTACAATTGAACCTGAAGTACAACTATCACTCCCTCGGTCTGAAGCTATAACTTTAATATATACATATACATATACATAATGTCAGGGTTCAAAGTAACACCCCCAACAAAAGAAGACTCCAAGACCGGAAGTTCCTCCAAGTTCCATTTTATTAGAGATGTCATATTGGCACATCTGGGAAAACCCGAATCTGAAAGATGTCTTCCAAGACTGACACATATACATATACATATACATATACATATACATATACATATACATATACATATACATATACATATACATACCCCATACCCCGTTTCCCCAAAATAAGGCATCCCCTGATAATAAGCCCAATCAGGCTTTTAAGCGCAAGGCAATAAAGCCAAGCACTTATTTCAGGGACGTGGTGGCACAGTGGCTAAGATGCTTAGCTTGTCGGCAGTTCAGCGGTTCAAATCTCTTGTGCCGCATAATGGGATGAGCTCCCGTTATTTGTCCCAGCTTCTGCCAACCTAGCAGTTCAAAAGCACATAAAAAATGCAAGTAGAAAAATAGGGACCACCTTTATTACCTTCCTTATTGGTGGGAAGGTAACAGAGTGCCATGCGCCTTTGGCATGTAGTCATGCTGGCCTCATGACCACAGAGACATCGCTGGCTCTTTGGCTTTCAAATGTAGATGAGCACCGCCCCCTAGAGTCAGGAACAACTAGCACATATGTGCAAGGGGAACCTTTACATTTACCTTATCCATATCCATATACATGTGTGTGTGTGTGTATCAATGGTGGGCTGCTGGGTTGGGCAAACTGGTAGCGGTGGTGGCAGGAGGCTCTGCCCACCCGCCCAGATGGTTCTGTACATGCACAAGTGAACCGGTAGCAATGGGATTTGGAACCTGCCCCTGGTATGTATGTATGTATGTATGTATGTATGTATGTATGTATGTACGTATGTAACAGTCACTAGATAGGACAGACAGGCAAAAGTGCAACCATAAACATCAACTAGCAATCAGAAGACACAAACAAAACACAATGAAAACTTCATGGAATATGTTACCTAATCTGCATGAAAACAACCAAGCTCGGAGTGCACCAAGGAGTCCTCAATTTGACCATGACCTACTTATATTCTCTTCTATTTTTACAATGAAAACTCCTTAACCTCACAACACATAGACAGACAACCATGATTTTCACTGGGAAACTATGAGTATCTTAGATCAAGATAAATTTAAAAATGCTAAGGAACTTTTGAATGGTATGTAAATCTATATTGATATAGACACATAGAGGTAACCACATTTACACCCTATTCAAAAGTGACAATTAAAAAGCTAAGAAGGAAACAAAAAATCAGAACACATCGTCTTCATCCACATAACACCCTTAATTTGGTGTTAAGGAACATTAACACCAAATAATTAAGCAGAACACAATACTTTAACCAAAGAACAGGAGAAAACATCATACTGAGGATGTTGCTTACTTAGGTAATGAAACTTCCTCAAGCAAACAGCCAAGATCAGAGGCAGAGGTGGTATTCAGCAGGTTCTGACCTGTTCTGGAGAACCAGTAGTGGAAATTTTGAGTAGTTTGGAGAACCTGTAAATACCACTTCTGACTGGCCCCGCCCCCATCAATTATCTGCCTCCCAAGTCCCAGCTCATCAGGAGGAAATGGGGATTTTGCAGTAACCTTTCCCTGCCACGCCCACCAAGCCATGCCCACAGAACCGGTAGTAAAAAAATTTGAATCCCACCACTGGGTCAGAGGGCACCAAGAACTCAACATTTCAACCTGAGTTACAAGTATTTTCTTCTATTGATATTTATGTATTAATTTCAAATCAATCAGATAAATGTTCATCTTTGGAATCCAAATCAGTTATGTCAAAATACTTGTTCCTTGAAAGTGGATAATTCAAAGACAGACTGTTTCAAAGCATCAAATATTTTTGAGAAGATAATTTCTCTTGAGGAAAAATGATGTTTCTTATATGAAGCTTTTAAAATGGCTTACTACATATGAGAACATATTTCTTATCAGGAATGCCTTTAGAAGCCTTTTAAGAAATGTTTTGTTATGTGATACCTGTCAGATATGCTTGCTCATGTAGTTCATTGATGCTCAATAATTCTGACATTTGTTGCTGACAGCTTTTTCTTGCTTCATCCCATGTTAGAGTTGAGTGCGAATTGATCTGGTAGAGATCTCCTGTCCAGTGATTTTTGGTCCAGAAAAAGTTATCATTTTTATCTGCAAGGATTATAAAAAATAGAGTCAGCTCATTAGTAACAAAGTCCAAGTACCATTTAGAAAAGTATTTATATTTTCATTGCATTATTTTTCATTGCAATGAAAAATAATGCAATTTAGTTAATAAGAATTGCCAAAAACTGAACTTAAGTCTGCAGATTTTGAATGGTGCTTTGCTTCACACACAGTGAAGTAAATCAACTCCCCACTTCTAAACAGCAACATTGGCATATAATTTCACCAGATAACACCAAGTCCATGTGTACTAGGAGTAAAGCCAAGGAACTTTAGATACTGTCCTTTAAGACACCCCTGCCTACTATTGAACTACCATTGAAACTCCTCATTTTTAAACTAGATGTTTATGGAGAAACAAAATGATCTCAATCGTCCAGGTCATGGTTGTCCAAGGTACTTTTTCTAAAAGGCAATTGGACTTTGTTGGTTTTTAATTTGAAAACATTTTCCTTCTCATCCAAGAAGTTTCTTTAGTTCAAAAAGCTTCAGAACTGAATAAGCTTCTTGGATGAGAAGTAAAATGTTTTCAAAGAAAACAAACCAAGAAAGTCCAGTTGCCTTTTGGAAAAAGCAGAATGGGACATATTTACGCTACTGCAACATGCTTGTATGGGGCTTTTTGTGTAAATGGGTGGTAGCAATTGGTTGAATTGACCTTATTACTAATGGAGGGAAATAGTTTTAGTAGCATTAGGTCTATACTGAATTCCTCCATTGATTTCCAACAGACTTCTGGCCCAATCTAAAGTATTGTTTTTAACTGTTAAGTCTTATATTGCTTGGAACCCATATAGTTTTGTTTAAAATCTTTCTTAGCAAGAATGTGCCTATCCTGTATATACACCCTGAAAGCCCACATATAGTAAATGGATTAGGAACCCATAGGTATTCTTTTTGTGGTAGCCTCTCATTATGCCTCCAAGTCATCACCTACTTTACTCACACTTTGCAAAACTATTAAGGTAATTCTTTCTGATAGATTTTTGTGCAAGAAATGGATCCAGTCTGCATTTGTGATAATAACATGACTTTATTATGTTCAACTAGTTTTTGTTTTGTTTCATTTCATTTATTTTATTATTTTGATTTTATTTTCACATTTTTGAGTCACCCAACTCCCTCAGAGGTTTTTATGTTTCTTCATCATAATGTGTACAATAACGTTACTGCAAATACACAAACATAAAATAAATAATGAGGCTTAGCATAAGCCATTCTGTGAGTGGACTATAAAGATAGCAGCCCAAAATACCATCATGCATTTAGAGGGTAAAAGGGCCACAAGACTCCTAGTTCGGCACAATTAGTTTCTCTTAATGTCTAGATGGCTGCCTTCATCACAGCCATTAAGAGGATGATGATATTACCTAGGTTAGGTAGTCTGCAAGAGAACAGCCAAGCTCAGACAACACTAAGGATCCCTCACTGTCTCTTTTAGCCTAGCTTGAAAGGAGGAGAAAAATATAACCCTTATACCTCCAATTATGAGTATTTTAAAAAGAGGTAAGGAAGTAGTTTTCAAGAAACTACTAATAAGGAACTTGCTGAGTAAATGTATGAATGTATGACTGACTGACTGTGGTTTTAGAAGTGTTGATTTTAGAAGTGCTAGCTTCCTTTTCTACTTCCCATTCTATGAGATAGCAAACCAGAACAAACAAATAAACAAGCTAACCAGGGGAGAGCTCTTAAACCAATCAGAGAAAATTCATTTGTAAAGAGCAAGGGGTTGTCATGCTAGCTTCTTCTTAGCAAACCATGATTGCCTGGCTTCTTCTGCCAGGCATGAGAATAATGCTGCTAGTGAGGTTCATGTGGAAACATAGAGATCCCTCCAGGCAATCAGAAATCCCCTGAAAATATTAGCATCTCACTATTATACTTTGATTCCAAATTACATACAGACTCCTCGATTTACAACAGTTCTTTTGGTGACCATTCAAAGATACAGCGGCATTGAAAAAAAATGACTTATGACCATTTTTCATACTTATGACCATTGCAGCATCCCCAATGGTCACATGATCAAATTTCAGATGGTTGGTAACTGGTTTGTATTTATGATGGTTGCAGTGTCTTGGGGTCATATGATCAGATTTTGCAACCTTCTGACAAGCAAAGTCAATGGGGAATCCAGATCCACTTAACAACCATGTTACTTACTTAACAATTGCAATGATTCACTTAACACAGTGGCAAGAAAAATCATAAAATGGGTAAAACTCACTTAACACATATTTCACTTAGCAACATAAATTTTGGACTCAGTTGTGGTTGTAAGTCGAGGACTATCTATATATGTATTAAAACATAATAAGACTATATAAAAAATTAAGATTCCCTGAAGAGAAGTTTCATCCTGATCACTGAAAACAGAACAAAACTGCTTTGTGATTTACTTTTTTTTGGATTTTTTTCTAACATCTTAGTGTAGCCTACAATCCTCCAATTTCCTGGTGATCTCCTCCCACCCCACTACTAATGCTATCTGGTCAATTAAGATCACTGTTGCCCATTAATGCAGAAAAGGTACAATTGAAGTCAGTTTTATGTAATATTTTGATATAGTCTAAAAAAAAGAGGGGTCCACATTTTGTGAAAATATGAACTCACAATATAAAACATTAATGAAATGCATAAGAGATAACTTTATACCAAAATGACTCTGCTGACATTCTGATCCTTCCTTCCTTCCTTCCTTCCTTCCTTCCTTCCTTCCTTCCTTCCTTTTGCAGGGCCTCAACACTCTCTTCCCATTTCTCCCCACAATTACAATTCTGTAAAATAGGTTGGAATAGGAGAAAATTTTCAAAATCACTCAGTGAGCTTCTGGAGCTACTGTATGGTAGACCTGAACCCAACCTTTTTCACCAGATTTTGCCCCCAAAATGCACCCAATTTAACAAATGCGAACACATGTTCTTAAGCACCTTAACTGTGAACAAAATAGTTACTTCTAACTTCAAGGGTGATTTGAAAATTTTAATTAATCTTATTTTAAAATGTACTACATTAACTTCTAATTGATAACACATTACCAAGATGTTGTGACACCACCTATAGGTCACAGCTGCTTTAGAATATTGCAATAGTGAACATGAAACAATCTATTATAAAAGGCTTATTTTTAAACATATATATGCATATTCCATAGCATGAGAGCCAGTTAAAGCATTAGGCTAAAAAAGAGAAATTGTGAGTTCAAATCCCATTTTAGCCATGTAAACTAATCGGTGATTTTTAGCCAGTTACTCTCTCTCAGTCCAACCCACCTCAATGAGTTGTTGTTGTAGGGAAAATAGGAGGAAGAAGGTATGTTTGTTGCCTTGAGTTGTTTGTAAAAATAATAAAGGTAATAGTAATAGTAAAAAATAAATACAAAATAAATAAATGTATCATCAAATAAGTTTACCTTTTATGGGACAATATCCAAATAAAGAGTCTTTGTCCACATCTGAAGTTGTTCCACACCAAAGTCGTTGGTGATCAGAATCAAGTACGCATTCATCATACCATTTATTCAGATACTTGAATGGAAATACGCAGGGTGCTCCAAAGGCATTGCCTTCTATAGTAAATAGAGCTATTAAAAAAATCAAACATATTTCTGTTAGATTTTTTTTTTTTAAAAATAATCTTTATTTACATTTTCATTAAAAAAAAAGACAACACATCATATAAATAACAAACAAGACAACACAACAAAAAGAACAAAAACAGGCATACCTATATGTAGTACCTTAAAGCCTAGTATTCGGTACTATATGTCTATATTATATTCCGGAGAAGACAGAACAACTTGTGTACCTTTACACAAGATTGAGAAGTACTAAAATGAGAATAGAAATGCTACACCAAAATACGTCAGGATTTATTTATAAGTAATGCATACAATTTGTGTACAATACATGTAACCATGTTTATACATTTTTCAGAATTTATATCTTAGAATATAGTAATCATGCATTCATTTAGTCATCCATTCATTTAATGTTCGAAGTTACAACAGCACTGAATAAAGTGACTTATGACTTGTTTTTCACACTTACGACTGTTGCAGCATCTCCATGCTCACATGAGCAAAATTTGGATGCTTGGCAATTGGTGATGCTTGTAATGTACTAGTATCGTATGATCATCTTCTGACAATGTCAATAGGAAAGCCAGATTCACTTAATAATCATGTTACTAACTTAGAAACTACAATGATTCTATGGCAAGAAAGGTTGTAAAATGGAGCAAAACTCTTTTGCCCTGCTTAGCAAAAGAAATTTTGGGCTCAATTGTGGCCATATGTTAAAGACTACCTGTACATGCCGAGTTTTTTTTCCAGATGATGTAAAAGACAACAACACTAATATGTTAAAGGACAACTAGGTAGTAATATAATTTGAAATTATACCTTTAGTATCCAATATATTTCAATTTCTCAGATAAAGAGATTCAAAGAGGAAGAGAATTTAGGTAAGCAAATTCAGGAAGAAGGATTAATGTTCAGATATTTACCTTCATATTTCTGGGTACATAAGTTTTTCTTTGTTCTGTAGATCTTCCAAACACTTTTTTTGGTGACGTTTGCTGATAGTATAACCCCATTCTCATGCCCATTAGAAGGATTTAAAAACAGCTCTTCTGTTGCAAGGGCAAGCGTGTCATTTCTGCATTCCCATTTTTGTACATTAAGGGTTTTATTGCATGGTGACACTGTAACTGGAATCATGTTTTTGTTTGAAGGCACACTCAGACATAGCCTCACCGCCATATTCAATAACTGATAATCGGATACCCACTTAAAATTTTGCTGGTCGCTATGCTTGTTGCAGATCTCGAGGGAGAAGGAATGAGATTGTTGAAGTTTTAGGCAAAGCTGAAGATTTTCATTGTATATCAAAAAAGTTTCACTGTCTATAAAATGAACCAAACAATAATAATAAATATAGAGGAACTACATTCATGCTGTGGATATATATATATATATGGCTATCATTTTTTCCCCATAAAAATGTATAGTTTTATACTATACTATATTATACTATTTTGCTTTTTTACGATACTATTTATATTATTACTGTGTTTTCCACCTTCTATACATTGTAATATTGAAACAATTCTATTGTATCTCAGATTTCATCTATTTAAATGTAACATTTTCTATTATTAATTATTAAAATATACCAACCAACGGGTGGAGGGGGGGGGAGGAGGAAATGTTTTTTAAAAAAGTATAAAAAGTAAAAAACCCTTTATATTGCTAATCTCTAAAAGATTATTTAGATACAATCAATAATTATAGAGAATGCATCCATATATTAGTGCTGAGGAAAAAACACAAACAAGTGAAGAACTGTGACAGAATAAAAATAAATTAAACAATTGAATATTTAAATAATTAAATTATATTTTAAAACAATTTAAATGAATAAATTTTACCTGTTAATTGAAAAGCTGGCTGCATGAGAAATAAAAAAATTAGGAACAGAAAAGTAGTCATTGTAAATAATAAAACATTCCAGAAACTACCCTGAAATTAAGAACCAACTGAGGTAGCTTCGTTTCAGGAACTCCTTTATATACAAGAGCAAAGAAGACAGCAATATTCAGTATTATGAAATGTGTATTGTAATAACTAGGGCTATAAATAATATTTGCCTTCTATGTAAAAGTACTATTTCCATAGAAATTTCCTCATGAATGTACAGTTAATCATTAAACACTCATCATTCATAAATCTATACATGCTTACTCTACATGCCTATTAAATTATGCCCTTTGAGAATAAGAAACAGTTTTCATGAAATGAAATACTATTAATTCAGTCAGTGACTAGCAAAATTTGAAAACATATAACATAAAAGTAAAATCAAATGGGTGAGATAAAGCACCAGCATAACATGGAGTCCCTATTATAAAAAAATATAATACACAACTATGATGATGTTAGTTATATGTGCAAGTATAAATCTAAAATATTAATTTTAAATGTATTATAATCTATTTTGGGTAAAATTACAAAACAAAATAGTTAAAGAGAGTAACTCTTCTTTCTTTTATTTTTATTCAAAAAAAGTCAAAATACAAAACTGTCACATTTTTTAAGAAAATAAACAAATGAAGAAAGAACCCAAAACAAACTAGACATTAAAAAAGTGCATTGAAAAAATAAAAAATAAAAAAATCTAACACATACATACATATTATCCCCCTATTTGAACACTGATTAATACCTTACTACAATATTACAATTTCCCAGCCCTTGTGAAACAGCCCCGACTAAACGACTAAATCTGTTTGTAAAATATTATCTATATAATTTATTAACAGAATAACAGAATGGAAGGGACCTTGGAGGACTTCTAATCCAACCTACTCAGGCAGGAAACCCTATACCATTTCAAACAAATGGTTATCCAATCTCTTCTTGAAAACTTCTAGTGTTGGAACACTCACAACTTCTGGAGGCAAGTTGTTCCATTTATTAATTGTTCTGTCAGGAATTTTTTCCTTAGTTCTAGGTTGCTTCTCTCTTTGATTAGTTTCTATCTATTGCAAGGGTATCAAACTTGATTTCATTGAGGGCTGCATCGTTGCTGTGTTTGACCTCGGGGGCCCAGGTTGGGCATGGCCGGGGCGCCTGTGGAGGTCTGAGCGCTCTGCCAGAGAAAACAGGCTCCCAAACTCTGTTTTTGGCTGCAAGAGCTTCCTGCAACCCTCTGTTAGCATAAACAGAGCTTGGGAAGGCTGCCCGTGGCCTTCGTGAGCTCCGTGTTTGGCTGTGATGGGATTCTGCAACCCTCTACTAGTGAAAACGGAACTCGGGAGGGCCGCACGTGATCCTCACGAGCTCCTTTTTCACTGGCAGAGGCATTGTGGCTGATCCTTCACTGTTTCCAGGGCAGCCCTGTGGGCGAGATCTAAGCACTGTGCAGGCCAGCTCCAGGTCCCGGGCCTTGACTTTAACACCCCTGATCTATTGCTTCTTGTCTTGCCCTTGCTTTGGAAAACAGGTTGGATATCATGTCATCCTTAGTCCTTCTTTTCATTAAACTAGACATATCCAATTCCAGCAGCTATTCATATGTTTTAGCCTCCAGTCTACTAATCATCTTTGTTGCTCTTTTCTGCACACTATCTAGAACAGCGGTTCTCAACCTGGGAGTCGCGACCCCTTTGGGGGTCGAATGGCCATTTCACAGGGGTTGCCAAAGCCCTCTCTCGCCCCCACCACACCTTCACTCACCCTCACCCTCTGCCTCTGTTGGATCACCGTTTGCCGTTCGCTTACCCCGCCCACTCCCAATCTATTGCTGCCTCCTGAGTCCCAGCTGATGGCTAGAGGGAAACAAGGAAACAAACTGTTTAAATTCTTGCCGCGGGGCTTCAAAAGGCCGCCCTACAGCTGATCAGTGTTAAAAGAAAACAAAAGAGAAGACCGGTGCCTGCAAAATTAGAAAAAAACAGCCCCTTTTAGCTTCAGCATAGGTTAATTACCATAAGTTGATTTGATCAGCCTCCGGACTCTCAGCTGATTTGCTCTCAGCTGTTTTGCGGAGGGCTCTGTAGCTAGCTGCAAAGAGAGGAGCAGATTTTTTTTCCCCTAGCTATGCTGAAAAAACGAAACTGAAAGTAAAACAGGCTCTTTGCTGCAATGTGACAAAATGAGGCAGAGAGAGATTTCTTTTTCTTTTTCCTCACCAAAAAAGGTAGGTGCAAAACTGCAAACAATGGGAAATTTAGGGCAAAAGAGGAGGTTCAAGATTTTAAAACACAAAAGAAAAAAAAGCTCTATTTAACTAGGGAATTGTAATAATTGAGATACTATTAATTGTATATTGTGTTGAAAGCAGAAATGGTTAAGTTGTGGTTTGGAGGAATATATGGGGGAAATTATTTGGTTTATTATTATTGGTAAATATAATTAATTGATTTGTAAGAAATTGGATTGCATGGAAATAATTGGAATATTCATGTTCATATTGATTGATATACAAAAAAGATAGTTATATAACTAATTGATTTATATTAAAATGTTGAATTTGTATTAAACAACTGTATTACATAATTACATAATTAACCAATGTGAGGATGGATATGAAAATAGATGACAATGGGAAGGGGTATAATATAGAATAGAAGGGGAAAATTGAATTTGATTAAGATTAGAGATGAGGATGAAGGGTAATATTGTTTTTTTTAAAAAATAGATGAGAAATAAATATGGCAAAAAGAAAATATAGAAATTGTAAATTTAATTGAAATGACTAAACACTGGTTAAATTGGTGAACCGGCCAAATACTCTGTTCAAAGAAAATACATTGTATGTTTGTATGTGTGTTTCTAATTATTGCTATTTATTCATATTTGTTCTCTTTTATTCTTTAAAGTTTAACAATTCATTCTTTATCTTAATATCTTTATATTTGTTTGGGGTTGGTTTTCTTCCCTTTCATCTTTTTTATTGTACAGCAATCTTTCTCCTCAAACCTACCACCTCTCTCTTTCCTTTCCTTCTTACTTTCTCTTTCCCAGCCCCTCTTCTTCTCCTTCCTACTTCCTCTTCCTTTCTCCTTCTTCTCCTCTCTTCCTCCCTCTCTTACCCTCACTCCTACTCTAATTTCCCTTCCCTTCCTTCATCCCTCTCTATTGCTGTATCCTTTTATGCATATGGACTACTCAGAGGGCTGAAAAAGTTATTTTTGACTTGTCCTCGCACGTTTGACCAGTCCTTGAACTTACAACTATCCTCACATTTTACGTTTTTGCCCTATCTTGTCACCATGGTGAAGAGAAGCAGTTGTGAAATGAGTGACACGGTTGTTAAGAATGCTACAATGGGCATGATGACCAGTCATAAGTGCGAAGACCGGTCAAAAGTGTGAGGACCTGTCAGAAATCACTTTTTTCAGCCCTCTGGGTAGTCCTTTTGTGCATATGGGCTACTCAGAGGGCTGAAAAAGTTATTTTTGACTGGTCCTTGCACTTTTGACCAGTCCTCGAATTTACGATTGTCCTCACATTTTACGTTTTTTGCCCTATCTTATCACCATGGTGAACAGAAGCAGTTGTGAAATGAGTGACATGGTTGTTAAGAATGCTGCACGGGCATAAATGTGAGGATGGTCATAAGTGTGAGGACCAGTCAAAAGTGCGAGGATCTGTCAGAAATGACTTTTTTCAGCCCTCTGAGTAGTCCCTATACACATAGCCATGGCCACCCGATCACATGACCAGCTAGCCACGCCCACCCAGTCACATGACCTCCAAGCCATGCCCACAAAATAAGCCACGCCCATAGAACCGATAGTAAAACATTTTAGAACCCACTCCTGGTTGGGGTCACCACAACATGAGGAACTGTATTAATGGGTCGCGGCATTAGGAAGGTTGAGAACCACTGATCTAGAAGCTTAATCTTTTTTACATTGTCGTGACCAAAACTGGATGCAGTATTCCAAATGTAGACTTACCAAGATATTATAGAGTGGTATTAACACTTCATGCGATCTTGATTCTATCCCTCTGTTAATGCAACCTAGGACTGTATTGGCTTTTTTGGCAGCTGCAGCATACTGCTGGCCCATATTTAAGTGATTGTCCATTAGGACTCTTAAGATCCCTCTCACAATTACTACTATTGAGCCAGGTACAACCTATGCTATATCTGTGCATTTTGTTTTTCTTGCTAAATGCAGAACCTTACTTTTTTCACCATTGAATTTCATTTTGGTAGATAGGGCCCAATGTTCAAGTTTGTCAAGATCTTCCTGTATCTTAAGCCTATGTTTTGGAATGTAGAACCAGTTTGGTGTCATCTGCTAATTTGATGAGTTCCCCATCTATCTCCTCATCTAAATCATTGATGAAGATATTGAGGAATACTGGGCCTAAGACAGAGATTTAGGATATCCCACTGCATACTTTCCTCCATACACATAGAGTTCTATTGAGGACCATACATTGAGTCAGCCAGTTACTAGTCCACCTGATGTAACCATTCTGTCTAACCCACATTTTACCAAGTAGTAGGTTGTGTTCTACTTTACGAAATGCATTACTGAGTATTTCGCATTATATCCACCGAATCTCTCTAGCCCACTAATTCTATCACTTTGCCAAAAAATGCAATAAGATAAGTCTGGCATGATCTGTTTTTGACAAACCTGTGTTGACTTTTGGTTATGGCTTTGTTTGCCTCTAGGTGTTCACAGATTTGTTGCTTGATTATCTTTTACAGAATCTTCCCAGGTATTGATGTCAGGCTGATAGGTCTGTAGTTTCCTGGATCCAGTATTAACAATTAATAACAAAATAATTAACAAGAAGAACATTAATAACTAAAAAAGGAAGGTTAAAGTTTCTATTAACAAATTATTATTGTAATTAACTTGTAGACAATTTACCATGCATTTTATTCTTGTTCAAGATTTAACAGTTATTCTTCCAGGATCAAATATCCATGTTTATTTCTTAATAACATCTCTTAACAATTGTTG